GAATTGCTAAATGCGCCCATAATAAATGGTTTTGTATTTCCTCTTTCTCATACTACCTCACTGTTTCTTACATACATAACAACCTTGCTGGAATTGCACAACTTACCACTGTGACAGTGTATATTATATACCTCTTCCTGAAATTGGTATTCTAGATTCTATTGGGATGATGCTTTCTGATGTTTCTGTTCTCACACCCACGTTGGTTTATATTTGTCCTCAGTCTTATTAGGCACTACTGTATTGTCATATCAAACACTGCTGTATGTTTTGCCTGACCTGTTTCATTTTCTTTTGATCAGACCTTGGGCTCTGACTGTTTATTTAACAGAGAGAAATGTGCCCTCAACTGAGTCAGTGGTGGTTGCCTGTGGATCTTTAATAATTTCTTAGCAGTGATGTGCAATAGCACATAGTCTAACCCCCCTGCATAATGCTTGATATATAAAATATTGCTGATTTCTCTTTGGGAAGTAGTTTTTCTTTCTTTGAGCAATCTACTTTTCTGCTGTAAGGTTTGTTTCTTTTTCTTTAGTAATTTTACCAGTTTATAGTTAAAAGGCTAAAACAGTACAGCAATTAACTTAAAAACAATGAAGTAATAACCCAAGGGAAAAAAAGTAGTATTTTTTTTTTTATTAACTTGACATATTTATGCCAAAGAACAGGAAAAAAAACTTAGGGCTAGGTAGAAGCCCAGTGAAAAACAGGTAGCACTCTTGAGAACAATAGGTCCAGAACAAAGGTGTTAAACCAAATTAAAACGCAACCAGAAAATATTTAACAAAATAAAAAAAGAACACAATAAGATAGATAACATTGCATTTTAAAATGAAATAATAACAAATTTAATTGCAACGCTCCAGATTTGTGACTTGCAAGAAGCACTGCACGTTTGCAGTCTTCTTTTAACTGCAGCAGCAAGGATTGCTTGGCGCTGCCACAGTGCAGAGTGAGCAGGACAGGTATTCTCTCTCTTAGTCTACGCTGCAGCAACAACAAGCAAGTTTATGGTGGAGGTTAATTTGAGGCAGTGAGATTATGCCTTTACCCCGTGACTGGTGGCAGGCAGCCTTGCACTGGTAGCCGACTTGCTCCAGATCTCCCGCACACAAAGGAGTGCTTTCCTCCAAAACAGTTTGAATTAATTTCTTTCTACCCTTCAAAAAAGGCTGAGTTTCCCATCTCCCTCTGGAAGAGGCTAATTCCTTCCTCCCAAACAGGTTGAATCTGTAAATTACCCGAAGTCATTTAAATAGTGAGATAGGTGGTGTCTAAATTGATAAATAAATAAACATGAATGTCTCTTCAGAAATTATCTCTAACTCTCAGAACTCCTCACTTGTAAATACAGTGTACTATTGCTGTTGGTTAAAGTTTTATCAGCAGAGACCCTCATTAGAGAATATAATTGAGGAGAGTGCTGAAATAATACTGAGTAATTAAGCTGTAGAATGCCCCATTAAAAAGAAAAATGTCCACATATTTATAAGATGCAAAGTAAGGGCTTAGCTCAGTCATCAGTGAATGCTAACGAACACGCATTGTATCTGTAGTAAAAATTACATATATGAAGATGGAAAACTTTCCCTTCTATTTAAATTTCATTTATACCTAAACATCACGAAGAAATGTAAGCAGAAAATTTATATATGTATATGCAGTTAAATGGTTACATGTAAAAGTACATCAATAAATAATTGAATGAGCCTTCGATTATTATACTAGAGAATCCATGGGAAAATTGCAAGATCTTACTGACAGGCCTGGAAAAAGATCAAATTATAAATTTTAAACCTCATATTTATAACTAATTACCTTGCTAAGCAGCATATCAAAAAAGGCAGTATCCCAGTAGTCCCTGTTTTCAGCTGGGAGTTGAAGTAAAGCTTTCAGACCATTATCCTTCTGATGGAATTTCTTGCCTTCTCTCTGGGCAAAATGAAACTTTAGGAAATATGTAGGACTTATGGCAAAGCTTTCCACTTTGGGATACAAAGCAGTTAGGTCCAGACTATCATTCTTGAACAGATTTTGCTCTGGATATAAAAAATGAGGAAGATCTTTGGTCACCAAGCAGCAGAGTAAGATCACCAGCAGACGATATACTGATCCTTCCAGACTCAGCCAGTCTTCAGAGGAAGGAAAAAAATGAGTAGCCCACAGCAATATCATCTAGAAGGAAATAGGAATAATTACTAAAGGCAGTGCAAAAAAGCCTTTCAAATACACTTAAAAAGCAACATTGAATATATTGGTCTATACTCTGGTAAATAATTCATATTTTAAAAGTTGGGGAAAATCTACTTTTTCCCAACTTTGGGACACTAAAAGTAGTTTCCTTGTACAGATAGTCCTTGACTTACGACCACAATTTGAGCCCAACATTTCTGTTGTTAAGTGAAACATTTGTTAAGTGAGTTTTGCCCCATTTTACAACCTTTCTTGCCTCACTTGTTAAGTGAATCACTGCAGTAATTTAGCAACCTTGTTAAGTGAATCTGGCTTCCCCATTGACTTTGCTTTTCAGAAGATTGCAAAAGATGATGACATGATGCTGTGACACTGGAACCCTCATAAATATGACTCAGTTGCCAAGTGCCTGAATTTTTATCACATGACCGTGGAGCTGCTGTTTTATGAAAAACAGTCATAAGTCACTTTTTTCTGTGCCATTGTAACTTTGAACAGTCACTAAACAAACTCTTTTAAGTTGAGAACTACCTGTAGTCTTCAAACCTTTGGCCCTTATTAAACATTTAAAATGCAGCTTACTGTAAGAAACTGAATAGATCTTTTGAGCTTAATTCACAATAATAGATGGACCACTACTTTTTGACCCTGTCTTATCTACGTTTCTTGGTGAAATACATGGCAAATTTTACTTAGGGTTAGATCACCATTAATTCAGAGAGCAAAATGGACATTGCCCACAGATTCATAGTGCATCAATACGTTTAGGAAGACGCTGACTTTTTGAGCTCACCTTATCTATATTTCCTAATTAAAATACATGGGGAAATCGCATGGTGGGGCAGTTCCACTTAGGGTTAGGTCTTCATGAATTCAGACATCAAAATAGACATTGGCAATAGATTTGTAGCATGTCATATGCCTAGAAGAACGCTGACTTCTTGAGCTTCCTTATCTACATCTCCTGGTAAAATATATGAGAAAAAACCATTGGGAAACAAATCTACTTAGGATTAGCACTATGTCTCCATGAATTCAGAGTAAAATGGACATTGCCAACAGATTTGTAGTGCATCAATATACTTAGGAGAGTGCTAATATTTTGAGTCTACCTTATCTATGTTTCCTGGTAAAATACATGGTAAAATTTGACTGGGGAGCAAATCTCTTAGAGTTAGGGTTAGGTATCCACAAATTCAGAGAGCAAAATGGGCATCGCCATCAGATTCATAGCTTGTTGATACACTTACGAGAGCACTGACTTTTTGAGCCTGCTTAAGCTACATTTCCCAGTAAAATATATGTGCCACGCAGCAAAGATATTGTTTGAACTTGGTAGACATTGTTTTGGAGGTATAGTAAAGTTCCCTGGGTTAATGGTGTAGGGAACGGTGCATTGAAGTATGTTGCTTCTTTGATTTTCCTAAGCTTTTAAAGTTGCAATTAAAAATGCAGGTACTAGAAGCTTAAAAAGCCATTCACAAAGGCAAGATAAGCTTAATAAACTATTGTCCAATTAATAACAGGATTCATAAACAAAGCTGAACAAGAACAAACCATAAGTCTTACTTCACTCTGAAATTGGCCTCATTTCTCAAATGAACATATAGCTAGCTAAAATCAAAAGGTGCTATATTAAGCTATATTTTTTGTGAGCTGTATGGTATACACCCAGATTTTTGTAAAACATGTTCTACTACTCCATCTTTTCTGCAGAGGTAAGGAATGGATCACATCCAAAACATGAAATTCTAACTGCCCAAGCAGCATTTTATATTCTGCTAAGGTTGTAAAAATTCTAGCCCTACATTGAGTGAAAGCAAATGTTCAGAAAACTTCAGAGGTGCTCCCACTTACAGATTTGCAATCATTATTAATTTACACAATATTCAGCAGTTTGTGTAAGCCATATTTAATATTTGTTTAATTACTATATGAAGCACAGAGAATTAAGTGGGACTCATTATGCCTGATTTTCAGTACTCTATGTTCCATAGTGGGCCCATTTGCCAATCAGACATTAGAGAAGATACCCAGGAAGAAAAAGACATCTGATCATTCTCTTATTATCTTTTCTGTGTTAAACTATTATATTAATAGCGATATATCTGAACAAAAATTAAGTTTTGCACTCCTTGAAAAAAATCCCACCAACCTTCAAATGTTGAAATGTGAGCCCCTTTTCTTCCCCTTTCTCTCTCCAATACTCATGGTTGATTTGGTCAAGAAGGCAGAGACTGTCCAGGCGATATCCCTTTAGAGTGCTTACAATTTGAACAAGTTTCAAGATGGGACGATTGGTGGAGTACCTAACAAGAAAAATATGCAACTAGAAGTTGACACTTTATTTCAGACTTTAGTCTGCTTCACTGTAGGATTCATTTATTTACAATCCATATTAATATCCATGCTGAGAATTACTGGAGAAATCAGCATGCATATTAGTATTCAGACTGATTTCTTGAGGACATGGCTACCTAAAACAAGGTGCCTCTCCATGCCTAACACTTCAACTAGCAAAGGTCATGAAATTATAATTGAATATCCAGAGAACTAAGGACTTCCTAGTTCTGTTTTAACGGACCTAGAGTCTGTGGAGACAGCTTTTGTGATTCTAAAGGAGGATGCATTGTTTCTAAGCTGAACATAAATGACAAAGATCAATTCACAAAAAAACCAGTTCCTTACACAGTTCCGACATTCTAAACTATACAGATTTCTATGCCAACAACATTAAAACATTCTTGTACAATCAGAATATAATATAATCATATGTTTCCTCCTAGGAAGAAAAGTGTATAGGTATATGTATCTAGAATTTAGAATGTTTCTGTTTAATAATGCATTGGTTTATCTCTCAGATTTGATGGTAAATATTTGCACTAAAAGGTGAATAGCATTCCACATATATACTGTGGAACATATAGGCATGTCAAGGGTGGGATATTCAGGTTCAGTAACATTTCCCTCTGACATACTATAACCAGGGCTATCATTTTATATGCTATTTTTGTTTTAAGTATGTAGATATTTCAGTCACTCCCTCATTTGCAGATATGTAACAAGTAAAATCAGCCCATAGGTAATATTAGCATATCTCTAGCCTCCCTCATTTTGTTATCATTATCTTGATAGTTGTGTGTTAGCAAGACTTCCCCACCTATTGTGCACTATACATTTATTCTGGCCAGATCAAATAGATTTTCTGCTTTGATTCTGAAGTCTCTGGGGATTCTTTATTTATATACCAAAGAGAGATAATTATTTTGTAAAATAAAACTTAAACATACCTAGGAAAGTGAAATTCAGCTGTAACAAAATTCAAGATTGCACTCAAGGTTCATTCTGGCACTGCATTATATAAATATTCAAATCACAATTTTCCACCATGGCAGAGCAATAATTGCAGGGAAACAAAATTTCAAAATCAGCACAGATCCATTGTTTACTCTAAAAGCTCACCAGATTAAGATTTTATATTAATGTGAAGCTGCTACATCAAAAAAGAGGGGCATTTGGATTCCAACTTACTGAGGTTCACAATGAGTGGGACATAAAGCACTACTTCCCAGTATGAACAGAGAGGGCAAACTTATTTTGGCCAAAATACAATTCTTCAAATTCACAGGTTCAAAGCCATATATAGCTTTAAATATCAATACTAACACCTTGGTCCCAGTGTATTGGTAACCAGTGCAGCGATCTCAACATAGCAACATAGCAATATGACTCTGATACTTTGCCATCAGCAGTTGGAGTATAGTTAATGAATCAACTGCAGCTTCTAAGTTGTATACAAAGGTGCCACCTTGTAAAGTGTGTTTCTAAATATGAAGTGATGGGAAACTGAGTTGCTATTGCAACAGCATCCCAATCTGAGAAAGCCACCAACTGACCTGCTAGGTGAAGCTGGGAAAAGGTCTTCCTGGGTAGGAAGATATGATACTGATGCATCAGTAACAAACTGCACTGCTTCTTCTACAGGAACTTATTTTCTACATAGCAATTGACTTTGGTATATGATTGGCAATTGTTTAGATTTTAGGGGTAATCTAATATACTATTCTATCAGAGAGTTGCCATATTGGGATTATTTATGACCAATGATAGCCTTTTGCAAATACTTAAAGGCAGATCCATCAAGGTCATTAGTATAAGGCAGCTACATTTAATATTGGTATGAATTATTTTTTCTCTCAGCCTTTTTATGACACATAATAATATGCAATCTTGAGAGGAGGATACTTGGCGTCAACTAATTTATTATAAGACATATTTATCACAATTAGTAATAAAGATCTAGTTTAAAAGTTTTCTAGAGTAGAGCTAGAAGTCACTCTGAAGAAGGAGCTTACAACTTGATCAATTCGAAACATTGTTATACTGTATATATTTGATGTTTTCTATTTATTGTGTAAATACCTAAGATCATGAGAATTAGGGCATTAGAGGTAGTCTTCCCTTAAGGATGATAAGTGGGACCAGTATTTTTATCACTAAGTAACACAATTGTACAACATCACACGACTGTGATGCTTGGTGATAGAAATTCCAGCATTTCCTGTTGCTGTTGTTAAGCAGATCCCACAATATTAAGCACAACTTCATGGGGTCACTATTTGTGACCTCCTGCTGGCTTGCCCATTGATTTTGTTTACAGGAAGCCAGCAAAAAAGGATCACAAATGGTAATCATGTGATCATGGAGAGGCTGCAACCATCATATAAGTATAATGTCTGGTTATTAGTACCACTCATTCATAATACCATCATAAGTTTAAATAGTTGCTTCATGAGTGGTTATTAAGTGAGGACCACCTGTACAAGCATGTGAGAATAAATAAAAAATTTGGTCTACTTTTAGTACTCAGAAGCCCATGTGTGTACCTAAAACTGTTTTTAAGTGCTGTGTCCTTGGAATAAATATATAGATATGATTGCCAAGGCATTTATTTATGTTTATATATATGCAATCCCATGAAGCAAGCAAGACGCACAAAGTGGAGAAGATGTGAGATTTAAACTTCCATTTTGAGACTGATCAAATTACCAGAGAATTTGGAGCTCAGACAGCAGTAAGAATGAGCCCACAGAACTATCAGAACCTGATGAGAATTCAGCACCTCTGCACAAGTGTTTACAATCTCTGCATGGCTTTGTGAAGAACAAAGCAACTACTGACAGCAGCAGATTATATGTAATCTATTCCGGATGCCAACCTCTTTGATTTTTACCTATACAGATTTTATGATTAGATATAATAGTACATATCATGCCTAAACACGTTGCTTAAGACAACTGCAGCAATACTTTGTTTGACAGCTTAAATTATAAACATCAAACAAAGTTTTGGATAGCACAACAATGCTTTGACCTTGTATTGTTTGTTCCTTATATCAACTGTGAAAAGTGAAAAACTTTCTGTGAGAAAGTTTTGTGGCCAGCAACCATACTTAATATTTTTGGTGGGTATGAAAACTGCTGTGGTAGAACGAGCACTTCAGTAAATGGAATAAGATGTTAACTTTTCCTCTGAATTTTGAATGTTTTTAAATAATTTATTTTAAACTTATAAGTGTTATAGGATGTTTATTGTGTTTCCCATCTCAAAATGATAGATTTCCCTTCCTTTGATTTTTGACAATTTTATTATAAGAGGACTCCAAGGGGCTAGAAAGCACAGGTCTGGAGAGACATGTAACCTTGAAACCTCGTTACTTTAGGACAGTATCATAGAATTTTGGACAAAATGTTCTACTCCAAATTCTATTCTAAGATAATTGAGTCTACATCTAAGCAACCCTGATACACTGTATGTAACCAATGTTTTATCTCTTCATGAGGGGATACTTACAGTTCCCTTATAATATGTATCCAGAAGGAACAAAGAAACCTTGGGCAAAGAAACCTTGTATTTTATAAAGCTAATTTTCCCATGTAAATTTTGGATATGTAAGTCCATGCTGCTGGAAATTCTGATCTGCCAGGAAAGGCTACCCAGCCTGTATATTTTTCTCAGAAATCTTCAGATTCACAAGAAGAAGACAGGATACATCCACTGCATTCATACTTGCATTTAAAAAGAAGCACATCTTCAGCCTTCATGAACTTGGTGTAAAAATATGATAATATATTGGTAGATTTGAATTGGAATCCAGAAGCCATGCATATGATCTATCTTTTTCCTTCCTTTACACTATACCATATACATCTTAGAAGTGCATCTGGGATGAGGCCTTTATGTTAAAAGATGGGCCTTTTCCAATAAGGCAGCTTTCACAACAGCATCATTTTTACCTCCAGTGATGATAACTTGCAGGGATGAAAACAGCTTCTTGAGTGACTTTGCTCAGACTGCCTTTTGGGAAACCTCTTTCTTGACAGTTGTTCAGAACATCCTTCTTTCTCCTCATTACTGGAATAATGTTGAAGCAGATCATTTTCCAGTCACTGGACACCAACAAAGGCAGCTGCATCCCATCCTCATTTAACCTTTCAGCACTAAGTTCACCTGATTTAAGGGGGAAAACATAGCGAAAGTCAAAGGACTATAGCAAAGTAATTGTCAACTTCAGCCTCCTTAGCTCCCAGGTCTTAGCATCTTTGACAAATATCATGCTTGTGTCCAAGAGCACACACAGAAAGCAATGCAAACCCCTAATATCAATGAAAAATGCCATGATATGAAACTTACATCACAAAGAGAGAGTACTGGAGGATTCTACTTATGAAAAGTTAAGTATAATTTGCGTACAATAATCAAAATCAATATGATAATTGTACGAAAATTATACTTAGTTCTGTAAGTTTGCAGAATTACTTAATAGAGGGGTCCCCGACCCCAGTCCATGGACTGGAACCAGGCCACAACATGCCAGAAACCGGTCGACATAAACAAGCGAAGCCCCATCTGTGGGATGCAGGCAGCATGCAAAACCACATACCCTCCAGTCTCCGGAAAAGCCTCGCTCCATGGAACTGGTCCCTGGGGTCCAAAAGGTTGCGGACTGCCAGTAAAGTAATTCTCCATATTATCTTAACTAAATGAAATACAGGTAGTTCTTGGCTTACAACAATTTCTTTAGTGACCATTCAAAGTTACAATAGCACTGAAAAAATGATTTATGATAGTTTTTCATGCTTACAGTTGCAGCATCCCCATGGTCACATGATCAAAATTCAGACACTTGGCAACTGACTCATATTCATGATGGTTGTAGTGTCCTGGGATCATGTGATCGCCTTTTGTGACCTACTGGTAAGCAAAGTAAATGGGAAAGCCAGATTCACTTAATGACCATGTTACTAACTTAATTGCAGTGATTCACTTAACATCTGATGCAAGAAAGATTGTAAAATGGGGCAAAACTCATTTAACAAATGTCTCACCTAGCAACAGAAATTTTGGGCTCAACTGTGGTCCTAAGTCAAGGACTAATGTACTTATATGTCAAGAATCGTTGGGACTCTCCCATTCTTTAAAAAGAATTCATACTGATTTGTCTGAATCAGACACTATACCTTAAAACCGATTCCATATTTTAGCAATTTTGAATCCTAGCCTGCCTTCCCTCAATTTTTCTATACAACTTGGTAAAATAATTTACCCCACCAGCCCCTGGGAGGATTGCAATGTGGAATTTCCTACTAAAAGATGTCAAGTCAGGTCATCTCCCAGGATATGTTCCAAGAGAAGGAAAAAAGTAGAGCAAATAAATTTGACAGTGGTAGGAGAAAGGATGGATCTGAGGGCCAGGGTTACATGTCCCATGAAAATAACTTACTATGTGGGGCACATGTTAAGAATAATTTGTGGTCCAGGGTAGGCAGGTATTAATGAGATATTGATACTTTGTGGAAATAACTAAATTTGTACTAAAATGTTGTTATTTAACAAAAGTCCATTTTGTTCCTTTATTTCTAGGTAAATCAAGTGTCTATGCTATGTATATCTTCCCACATCCCACCCATTTACATTTTATTAGAGACTTAAACAATTTCTAAAGCAGTAATAGGTTTAATGATGGCAGCAGAACAAAGAGATAATAAAGGGAAAGACCTCCATAACAAGGAAGGCAGGTGACACCCTCTCTTGCCTATCTGTCACTACCATATTTCAAAGTATTCTCACACCTAAACAAAAAAAATTAAAGTAGGGAAAGTAAACTTCTGTGGTATAAAAATTTGACATTATTGTGACAACAGTAGGGCCAATACATAAAAGCTGTTTTAAGGATAAAATTGTAAGAGTCCACCCTTGCAAGTAATACCGTAGCAGTTAATTCTGTAATAACAATTAAATGAAAATACGCCAATGGTTTCCCTCATTTTGCCCAATAGCCAGGCCAGAAGTAACTTACTTTAGCAGGACTGAAATAGTTGATGATGGCTTTCTGTGTATCAGAATTCTGGACACATTGATTTACAACTTTGGGTCTCTTGAGCGAATTCTTTCATTCCTGCCCAAGTTTTGAAATTTTAAAAAATATATATTTCAGTTGTTTTTGTTCCAAGCAAGCATCCTCCTGATACAGGAACACAATTTCCATCACCACAGATAACTGCTACCTGATAGTGATAGGAATTACAGTCCATTCATCTGAGGGTACCAAGTTTAGAAAATTAGCAGAAAAAAATTAAATCGTGTTTTGAAATCAACATAAGTATCCATAGTAGAGTTAGCAGTGGTTGACCGCCCACATGTGTTGTTCAAGTTCTTATTTGAATAACTGCTAGTTGTGGGGAAACAACAAAGAGAAAAGCTTGGGACTTGTTCAGATCCTGACCTGTTATGCATATTCGCATAATGCAAACATGTTAGTTTTTCCCCCACATTATCTGTTTTTCAGTACTTAATGTTTATTCCATGTGTCTTCCAATAGCAGCATATCATTAGAAGGGTGGGGCAGAAAAGAAATTTGTATTGCCTTTTTCTGCCCTATCTCTGAATCTACAACCCTCATAATCTTATAACTGCCTTTTCTGTATAAACATATTTTTGTCATTTTTATCAATACCACATTTAGTTTTGATTGTACAATTCAAGCAACCATATTATTAGTAATATTTTAGAAATATATTTAACATTAATATAAACTTTCCTTATCTTTAAAAGTTTAACTTATCTAAACCATTATAATGTTAACCATTTCTAGTTTATATTGCTTGACTTCCACTGTATCCAGAGATCTGTATTTATAATGTTTTATTCACTTCTTATAGTGTAGTAAAACTTTAGGAAAAAATATGTGCCTGGACTACTTTATTTACTTATCTATCATATGATGATAACTCTGAACAGCATGTACGTTCCCAACATTCATAAATTATGAGAACATTCAGCCCAGCAACTCTCCACAACAAAGGGACCTCGATCTCAATCTTTTCCCACCATTACCAACTGAAACCTCCCCTTTAAGAAAGAAGAGAATAACCACCAAATGGTGATCATCACTCCCAGCCCTCAGAGACTATCCCAATAAATACCATGATAAATAGTGAAGGCTCTTGAGATACCAGGCAATATTCAGTTGGACACATTTCTCCTATCCTATTATCACCAGACTACCATAATATGTGTTATCTGGAATGTTTTCTAATATAAATTATAAGTTAAATACAAAATGAGTGAGATTTGTAACAGAATTTTAGCAAGCTCTATTCAGTCCAAGTAACTATGTCTTGTTTTATTTCCTTTCCATTTAGTTTTTCATTACTTCATTGTGCTCAGCATTGTGTTCAGTTCTCACTGGGCCATTAGGTTTTATTCTGGTTCTACTTTTTGTAAAGGTTTATTCAAATCATTTATGTATTTGCCTTTGATAAAATCATTGAGGACATGTGAAGTGAAGCAAATGCCATTGTTTTCAAAAGGAACAATCTAGCAAAAATAAGTATCATGGAAGATTCTAGAGCAGATCATAAAGAGACTTATCAGCTTTAACAAAATTAAACTGTATATTAATTTACATATATACTATACAAGGCAAAGCTACCTAGCAGTCTTCTCCACAATAGAGTAGATAAATACCTTAAAACATTGTGGTCATTACTAGAAAAAAACATAGTTTTGTAAAGAATAAGTCTTGCTATATTAACATTGCAGCACCTAACTTTTTAATAGGGAATGTTTCTTAACAGAAGATGGGTATGTTACAGACACAGTAGATCTTACTGAGAGCCTGATTGGTATAGTAATTAAGGTGTTCACCTAGAAACCAAGAAACTGTGGCCTTCCTTAAACTGACTGGGTTATTCTCTCTTATTCCTATCTGACTCACAAGGTTGTTGGTTGGGGAAAATAGGAGGAAGGAGTATCAGTTATGTTCACTGTCTTGAGTTATATTTTTTTATTGGAAACCATCCAAAGTCACTTAGGTAAGATAGATTGTATAGAAATCTGATGAATAAATAATAAATATAAAAAGGCAAGATCAACAGCAGCAGGATCTTGATTTCAAAGTACCTCACAAAATTCTAATTAATTAAGTATGACATAGCATATCATGTCAAATTAACATGTATTTGGTTGGAGAATTGTACTCCAAGATTGCTTATCAGTGTCTCCTTATTAACTCAACAGTGATAATTGATGCCAAAAGATTCTGTACTGGATCCATGAGTTTTCAGTATTTTTAATTAATATCTTAGATATAGTTATCTCATTCAAATCTATGTTTTAGTGATTTGGATGAAATGACTTCATTTGACCTGAATGAAATCACATTTACAGATGATAAAAAATTGAATAGTATAGCTAATATGATAGAAGACAAAATTCAGAGTGACTTTGGCCAGGGAAAGAAATAGCTGAAAATAACAGAAATAAAATTGAATAAGGACAAAAGCAGAGTTATGACCTTGGAAACAAAAATAAATGCATAGAATAAAATGAGAAATGCCTTAATATTAATACTCATGAAAGAATTATGGTTGATTGCAAATGAAGTCAGTGTGTGATGTCACTGTCATAAAAGCAAATGAACATTTTTTTTGTCTACATCACAGAAATATAGTTTCTAAATTACAAAAGTAAGAGTTCCACTTCTTGTTTATTTGTTTTGATCAGTATACTTCATTGAATATACTACTGTATCCAGTTATCCACAACATACTTTAGAAACTTGAAATAGGTTCAGAGAAGCCCCGTTAGAATGTCCTAGTAACTAAGTATTCTAAAGAGTTTGAAAGAGCCTAGTTTGTTTGACCTTCTAACCATCATTAAAACTGTTGAAAATCAAGGAACTGGATCAATGAATAGAGGCATAGATCTGCTGGATGTAAATAGCTTATTTCAAGTCCATGACTCTGTAATTTGATCTGAAGTGAATAGAGACAAGTATATGTATCCCACTTTTGTTCTGAGTATCTTTCATGTCTGTCCATATTCAGTTTAAACTAAATAATTGTATTAAGGGGAAACACAACCATGAAGCTGCTCACTAACAATAAAAATCTGGATTAAATAGGAAAAATAAGTCAGCTGGTCATAGTCTGCTGAAATGCACTTATTGTAATTAAAATTATTTCACAATTTTATAGGTTTTTAAATTGTTTTAAATTTTGTGTAGCCTAATGATGCACATATAAAAGGATACCTCCGGATTGTAGAAATCTGCATTCTGGTTTGTTGTCTTTTTAGTAATGTATTTCCTCTGTTTCAGAAATAAATTAAAAACCTGCCGTGGAAGATGTTTATAGTATATAGGTATGTAAATATTCTTCAAATACGAAATACCTTTTCAATTCTTCTGGAACTTTATAAAATATTTTAATTGTTTGGTGTAACTGTTATTTTTTATGTTTGGTTCTTGCTGTTTTATGATTATTACTTTGCTTTTATGTTTTTTACTGTAAATTGCTCTGATTCAGTTTTAAATCATTTCCTGTAATTCTTCCTGGCTTGATACAAATACCTGAGAAAACATTGCTGTAGGGTGTAACAGCACCAAGCAGATTGGAAATCAGCAGTCACATGAGGAGAAAAATGCATTCCCTTAAAAACAGGTAGAAACCAAATCCCTTGAGCAAGAAAAAACTTATCCCAAGCAAAGTATAGCATCACAATAAGTAAGCATTTGCTTTTGAGCAGAACAATTTGAGACTGGATAACAACACAGTGTGATTGTTATAAATGTAAATGAGAGCTGTAAAAAATCTGCTAAATTTACTTAGATATTTTAAAGTAAGCCAACTAGGGCAAAGCAACATATATGCTCATTTCCAGCCCAGTGAACTGTCCTTAGATAATGGACCATAAGAAATAAGTAGTACAGAGCCATCCTAGTTGATTTGATTAAGAGCACCTGTGCCTTTTCAGGCTTCAGTGGGAGCTTGAAAAAAAGAAAGCTATCACCATCTTAAGGAATCCACCCATTAAAGTGGTACTTTTTTCAAGTCACATTCTTTTAATGAATAACAGAAAGGTGCCATGCCAATGTGAAGTATGAAGCACTTCTGATTAATGTTCAACATGTAAAGCTTTGTCTTCTCCAGAAATGACTTCAAAAGAAGCTCTTTGGGATTTGTGCAAACATCACTACTTTGCTATTCTTAAAGTAGCTGGACCTGTTTCCAAATTTCTATATAAGCCTGAAAAAATATGGGTGCTTCCACAATTAGCAAGTATGACATATTCACTCTTGTGAGGTGTAAAACATTTCTTCTAAAATTCTAAAGCATTCTTTTAAAGCATTCTTTAGTACTTAAAGAGAAAGGCAGTTTTTATTTTTGGAAGATAGATATCATACAAATAGGGCTACCAGATCTAGGCTGCAAAAATCTGAAAGAGCACCAGATGTCAGCAAAAAATCAACATATTCTTTATTCTTTTGCTGCCATTTTTTGATCTAGATTCTTACCATTCAGATCTAGCAAAGTTCTCTGACATTGGTAAGGTCAGTAAAGAGATACCACAATAATTGTAACTGTATTATCTCCTATTAACTTATTATCTCTCTGTGTGTATTTGTGTGTTTCTGTATGTTTGTGTAACCATAACCACATTATTTAAACTTATTGCCTGGTTAACGTTATTTAACTGGTGGTGCCTGTAAAGCTCTTGCCCGTACAATGAAATGAACAAACAGTTTGGGAAAACATTTAAAGCAGCTGAACATAGCAGTTCAGTGATATGGCTGCTTTTACAATTTGGAGAGGTCTACTCGGTTCATTCTACAGTATTAGAGAGCCCTTTTTGAATTATTTGAATAAGTCAGATTAATTTTCACCCCCAAAATGACACAATTATCCTGCTACCAAACAAGCAGATATTAACTTCTGATTTTGTTATAAGTTGTATCAGCTACAATTTAAGCAATTATTTGAATATTTGGAAAATATTTGTTATTTTGTGCTAGATGAGCAACCGTTATCCGTTTTCAGATTATACTTGTGTACCTATTAATTTATCCTTTTTATCTTAGCATTTTTAAAGGTCAGTTGTACTATTAACTCATCTGCATTATACTAAGCAGAAATATAATAGAAGTTCAAAATGATAGATTACATATACATGTGTGTGTGTGTGTTAAAATATAATTTAGATAATATCTAATTTAATAAACATTTTAATTTAAAATTGAACTTTACCTAGCTTAATCATAATATTGTTATAGTAATTTATAGCAAATTCTTCTGCAGTTTTTCATATTGATCTGTCCTGCCCTGGAATGCCATTTGCTCTGGTTGCAGTACTTTTCTATTTAAATTACAGCCACATATTTCCATTGAAATTATAGTTATTCTTTCTAACATATTAGTATGCAGTCATCTATTTTCATATCCAGAGAGTTTACTATCATATTTTGGCTTATTGAACTTCTAACTCCTGAACTTTAAACATTTTAAAATAGCATATTATTAAAATTGCATCCCTCCTTACATAGAGGATTGTCCTCTTCTATTTATGCTGAGTGAATTTTTCAGTGGTTACAGTGTGTTGATAAGCTGCCACATATATAATGCCAAAGTATCAGGTTCTGATATCTGCCATAACATGTTCAGCATTCCTGGACAGAACTGTTGTCATAGTTTGATGTATTGTCTAATATACTTCCTAAAGAAATTTATTACTACATAATAGTTGTACAATTGCAAGATCAACCCAGAATCTCAGTATTGAAATGTGTTTTAGTCTAAGCAATGTGTTGCATTAAAGATCTACATTTAACTAGATATCCAACAAACATCACATCCAGCCTTATTAGCAGGAAGAAAGAATCACCAAGGATAAAGCCTAAGGGAATATTAAAGAAATACAAGAAAGTAAACCTCCAAATTAATTGCATCTCAGACAAAAGCATTTAGTTCCAAAATTCAAGATGTCCCATATTATAGAAGATAATATGAAGTTTCTTTTTTTCTGCATTATGATGCTGAAAATAACAAGTATACTTTATTATTGATACAGTAGCTGATAGCCTGTGTTTTCTTCAAATCAGTGGAACAAATAGAAATTTACCTATGTATTAACTCAAGCTATTCACCCATTCACTGCCTCTACCACTTCTCATGATTGTTTGATAGGATTTTAATATTGTATTATTTTCAACATGTAAATTTAATAAATAAATTTTCAACAAGCTAACAAATGATTTTGAATTTGCAGATTCCTGAAAAGATTTTGGGGAAATCCTAGGGATCCTAGGATCAAACTTTAAGAAACACTCCTGCCATGCATTTTACATGGGGTTGCCTTTGAAAATGACCCAACAGTGCCCAAGATATTGGACTAAGAGCTACTACTATAACACCTGTTCCATTGTGTTGGTTACCAATACATCTCCAAGCTGAGTTCAAAGTTCTGGTTTTGACCTAGTAAGCTCTTTATTACTTGGATCCAATGTACCTTGGTACTTTCCTCCAAAGTGATACTGCTTGTCCCATGTAGTTTTCCAGGACAAGGATGCTTTGGGCTCTATCCGTCAGAAGGATCAGACAGAACATGTCCTGGGTAATCAGTTTTACTCAGTAATGGCCCCAACATAGTGGAATAACTATCCATGGGAGATTCTCCTGATAAGTTTGGTATTGATTTTTCATAAAGTTGGCAATGTGATTTTGTTTGAGCACTTTTATGTGTGTGCGTTTGTGCATGTATGTGTACGTGTGTAGCACAAATCTATTTGTGTGTAGCACAAATCTGCTATTTGTGGCAATTGGGCACCAGGTGGTTGCTATGTTACTATAATTTTGAATACTGTACTAATTCATACTGGAGTTTTCTTTGAATTAATTTATGAAACTACCTAGAATCTAGGTTGCTAGATTGTGTAGACATGAACAAAATTAAATAAATCAATAAATACAAAATAATCTTCAAAGTCTAGCTCCCTATGATGAAGAGTCTCATTTAGTGAGTACTCAAAGCAAGCATTTAGTATCTGGAAAAACGAAATCAACCACATTGTGGATTCATTGGTTTGTTTATAATGTAATAAAATGAGTTGGCAAAGATAATTAGTATGGCAGACACAGTTCTTTCACTAATGCTTGCACATTTGCTGGATCCTTTAATTAGGAGCACTGTTGAAAGTTTGTAATATGTAATGAGAGAACGAATATGTCTTTTTTAAAAGCAAAGAATACCATAAAGGGTTCTTTCTTTCTTTCATCCTATCTCCTTTTCTGTAGCAGTAGCAAGCAAATTCTTTTTAATGTTTCGCTTCAGTTTTATTAAACTGGCCACTGTGAACTCATCTCTATTACAGTGAAATTACAAGTTACATAGATGCCTGTGGTTAATATTGTATTATTAAGTTTGTTTTTATCAGCAATATAAATAATCACCTTGTCTCAATTACTATATATTAGAACAAGATAGTGCGCTATTGCAAATGCTAACCTTTTATGAATGCGCACTTTAATTGGATAACTGTACACCATACTAGCTTATATTGTTCTTCCTGGTTCTCTAGTGTGTTTTATCATTCACGCTTGGAGAATAGTACAACATATACATTATAATTTTTTTGACATATACCCTCACGAGAATAACATGCTGGTTTGATTAATAATTTACATCTAGCCTCTTGTATTCTTCCAATCCTCTCACTTTTTTCCAATGATAATCCTGAATAAAGATTTTTAAAAATATTTTAAATAGCTTGCTATCATTCTTTCTTTACCTCTGAGACAGTACCTGGCTTAATAAGGTTCTGGTGCTTGCAGTGAACAATGGCAGCAACTATCAATTCTTTCAGAAGATGAAGAACTTTGCCTGGCACAATATGTCCTCTGGAATCGGTGTCATCCATAGCACTGAACACATCTTCTTTGGTCCAGTTTTCTAGGTTGGTTTCTTGCTTGGGTACCCCTAAATAGCATGGTCCTGGCATCTGGCAATTCCTATGAGTAACATTCTCGGAATTACTTTGTTCATCTGTACATGGTTGCATCAAGAGAACCTCAGCATTGACACATAAGGGAACCTCCATGGTAACTTCATCTTCTGCAGCTGAGAGGGAAAATTCCAAGGCTTCCAAGTTTCTTGAATAATCCACTATAATTCTAGGATCCATTGTCTTGACTCTTTCCAGTACAATAAATAAAATGTTTTCTGCCTTTTGAAAATGCTGCACTCTCTGATATTCACGGGACTGAATCACCTGAAGGTAGCTGTGCCAGTTAGGAACCTTTCCTGCCATGATGGAAGGTGGGCAGAGATGAAATGCCTCCTGTAAATCCTCTTGTTGCCCAAGATAGCTCTGGAAGCAGACAAAAACATTGGTACAGCCCTGAAAAAAAAAACATGATATGCATAGAGGTGGGAGGGAAAGGTGTGGCCAGGAGAACTAGAGCAGGGAGGAGCAGCATATGCAGTAAAATTCCACTCATGCATTAAAAATGCCCTCCTATTTCCCTGTTTCATAGTTGATAAGGTGCCAGGTTATTTTAAAACAGTCAAACTGGTATGTTCAGGTAATACAGCTGAGGCATCTGGCTGTCTCAATATTATTTTCTGGTACATCAGACTTGTCCTACTCCGCTAGCCTGAAAAACTGGGTTTACTGGAATAAATCCATGCAGATTAAAGTGGGGCTAATCCAGCTGTGTTGACCCAGCATTCAGTTCCCACTCAGTCACAAAGCTTACCACAACAATAGTCAACTTCTCAACAGACTTTGTAGTGAAGGAAAATAGTATGAATCAACTTAATTCCTAGGTAACTTATGGGCTAATGAAATATAAATGGGCTATCAAAGTAATACTGCCAATGGTAATTCTTCTATGATTATGCAACATTTTGGGTGGTCACTCACACCTTAGTGGCCTCACATTTGGACTGTTGCAATATGCTCTACATACGGCTTTCTTTGAAGTTTACTGCATCCAGAATGCAGAAAAGCAGGTAGTTATGGACACAGCTTGTTACATCCATGTGACACAATTACTCAGCAAGCTGCACTGACTCTCAGTAGGCTTCTGGGTGCAATTCAAGGTGTGCCAGTTATCACCTTTATAGTCCTACATGACATGGGGCTGGATTACTTGTGGGACCCTTCTCCCAAGACCATCTATTCACCTCATACACTCCCATAGGGAGCACACATTCTGTTATCTCTGTTAAAACTTTGCCATCTTCTTGTACTTTTTGACACTTGTCCCTGTGCTCTTTAATGATCTCTCTCGCCCTGTCCTGATACACAGTAGTCAGCCCAAATCTGCTTGCTGTTGTATAAGCCATCAAAACCTAGGTTCCACCACCACCACCACCCCGGCATTGGAGTCCGGTTGAGTAGAATCCTCTTTTGGTTGTTTTAATTATTGTGTACAATTATCATTTTATATTTTATATGTTGGTTTGATTTTTTAAAAATGTTAAGTAACTATGGTTTTTTTTTCCATTTACTGTTTGTTTTTGTTGCATGCCACCCAGTCTCATTGAGTTGGGTGCCCTATAAAACCACTGAATAAATAAATTATTAAAATGAATCATTGAACAAATCAACTCAGAAGTCTCACTGGAACTACAAATAAACAGGCCTAAATTATCTGGTGTTACACATATTGTGCAAAGACCAAATTCTTTGGTGAAGGTACTAACATTGGGAAAGATGAAAGGAGAAAGAAGAAGAGGATGATCAGTAGCAAGGTAGATGGACTCGCAGTAACAAAGAGCGCACTTCTGAAGATCAGAAAGATCAAAATAAGGACAGGCCATCCTAGACAACCACTTGCTAGAAGTCAACAACGTAATAGCACATAATCAATAGGTACTTACAACATATATCAATGTACAAGAAACTCAAAGATACAGAACAAAATTAACTCTAGTAAATTTATTTTTTTAAAGAGCTATGTAAAAAGATCACAAGAGAAACAAAAGTTTTAATTCTGAGAAGACAAGTCTAAGATTGCATTATATCACATGGTCTTCAAGAACATTACAAACTGGTGACTAGGGACTTTGTATAATGTACTTAAAATGTTTTATTTTTTTATGTTTAGGTTTACATTTAATTCAGGAAATTTTTTGAAGAATACAGCCTAATAACATCGTTGATTCTAAAAAAAATTACTCAGTGCCACACCTTGATATATTAACTGTATTTTTTAAAAAGGAAATGTTGCTATATCAAATAAAAGGAAATACTGTCTATAATTGATTCCTTAGAGCAGCCTTTTCTGATCTGGAATCTTTCAAGTAAATTGGACTTTAGCTCCCAACAGCTATTGCTTATGCTAATAAGACTTATGGAAATTATGGCTCAATAGGAAACATATGGACCCACACATGCTCCCTTAAAAAAAACGTTTTAAATGAATGCATTGCTGGAGGTATACTGATTTAATATTTATGTTGAAAGCCACTTCACAAATACTGCTAATAAATTCTTTATGAATTGTCTACATATTTAATTATCCTTATCATAGATATGGAAATAAAATGTAATATGACTAATCAAACATATTTCCTAGAATATCCTGCATAACTATGATGCATTAATAAGGAAATGAGATTACTGTTACAAAAAAAAGACTATTTAAAAAAATAAAGATTCAATCGCTGGAATAAAGTTTTCCGCCGACATATACTGTCGAGTAAAATAGTAAAAGGTGGTGTCGAATGTTTTGTGGATGTGACTCTTGGTTCAGATTGTCTTCTAGAGAACGTCCAATTGTCCTGTGAACAGAATATTTCCCATTTTCTCTGCAGCCTGACCTAGGAAAACAGTTCGGTTTGCCGCGTCTCTTGTCACCGTGGCAACCCCGGGTGCATTCTATTTCTATGACAACATGAGGGACTCGGCGTTCTCATTGCCTTAGCAACTTGAGCCAGGTATCTTACACGCCTCCTCGGTTCTAAAAGGCAGGGAAGAAGGATCAACAGTCACTGACACCGGATTAATTGGGACACAAATATGCATGCACTTCTCTTATTCTGCAAGTAGCGAGAAGTCTTGCTAGGCTAGCGTTGGTTTCCCTCTTCGGACTTGGCCCGGTTTTGAGCGATGAGCGAGGGAAATGTGGAGAAGCCAAGTTTAAGGTTGGAAGCCGCTATCCAGGTTAGTGAAAGAGCAGCTTTTTAATACCTCCCCTCGAATCCCTGCACCGGAGACAAATTCCTTGTTTGTCTAATCACGCTTGGCCAAATAAAATATTCCGATTGACTAATTTCGAAGTACAACAGGACTAAACTCACCCACTCCTACCTCTCAATATTCCATTCCTAGAGGAACACCTGCGAGGGGGGGGGGCGCAAAAGCGGGGGAATACATTGAATCCTGAAGGCATATTTCGGATGTTCAGCTTGGGTAATGAAATAAGGAGGGTGGGAGCAGGTTAGTGGGCTCTCCTACAGGTTTTTTTTTCTAGACAAAATACAGCTGATGGAATGCTAATTTTGTTTTTAAAAAGACACTGTAATAACTTTAACTGACTTTATTCTATGGGTTTCAATTTAAGTGGTCCCTCGATGCAAATGCCAGTGTAGTAATTAGAATATTGACCAATTAGTCAGTAATTCCAAATTCTACTCTCTCATGTCTCAAAGTTTGTTGGAGTGTAATGAGCTGCAATATCTTTTACCTCAAAAGGTGTTGTGAGAAGAATGTAAGTGAATCTACATATTAAGGTCTAGGTCTGGATTTAGGGCTTGAAAAAGGGAAATAGATTGTGGTTTCTTAAATAGTTTCAAATTAAATGGAGAAGTTCTAGGAACAAGATTAATTTCTCATGCTTTTTTCTACATGGAACATTTATAAGAAAAGTTTGATGTCATGGCTAAATTAAATTGGAATGCAGGAAAGTTGTATCAAGTATTACAATAGATAGTTTATAGAAATCATGAGGCTATGCTTAGTAAACATCCTGCACAGGTCAGTATCTTAAACTAGACAGTGATTTAATTATTTGTAGTTTTGTATATTGTAAACAAAGCTATAGTAGTTTGTCACTCAATTTATGGAAAAAGGGCAAAAAAATAGGTTAGTAGGCTTTATAAACCCACTCAATTTTGTTTATTCAATAAAGCATGATTAAGTAAATTAACCATAGGTTAAGATATTATGTGAACATGTTCTTATGCCTACTATTATGATTCAAAGCCAGCCATATAATACAATGTTATTTCTTTTCAGACTATTGTAATCTAAAGAGCACTGACATTTATTGCATAGTCATAAGCTTTGCCAAAAGTTGCATGCCCTGATATTATTTAAAATATAATCAGTAACATCAGCAACAATTACTATTTTTTTTCCCTTGGAGTAAAGTTGCCTTGGATTTTATGGAGTTGTCAACATTTTAAATACACTAGAGGGCAGTAAGATTTAAGGATTGAGAATAAAGAACAAAAGAGTAGTGAGGGCAAGAAAATTGCTTTCCAAGTAACTAAACAATTAACAGCATTCTTTTATGCAAGTTTACTCAGGAAGCACGTTGTGCTTAATGGGACTCATTCCCAAATATGTATAGAAACTATTGCAGCTCTGGAGTGCAATTTCATAGTGCTTTAAATTTTGCAATGATTTTTACTGAACTTAACTAAGACTTCTCAGTGAAATTCTGTAGAATTCAGATACATACAATTCAAACTTCTCCTTTACTGGGTACAGTTCCATTGGGAATATAAAACTAGATCACCACAGAGGAAACTAAACATATATCATCTCCTAGGATAATTTGCAAAGCAAATAATAACCCTGGAGGTTACATTATAATTTTAGCAGTATTCAAAAATTGTTTAGAAAGGCAGCTTTTGGATTCTTCATTCATCTGCCACTTTAAATAAGTGCAAATAAATTTCAAGTCTCTCTTTCTCTCTAGTTCAGAATAAACATCTACAGGCTAGATCTGCTTAACCAGTATTCAGACTCCACCCTATATTGTATAAACCCAGGAACTTCTAATAAAGCCAGCATTTTTAATAGAAATAACACAAGCAAGCTTTAGCTAATTGTGAAGGACTCCAAAGGAGCCAATTCTTACAGTACTTAAATTAGATTGCTCTTAGAAAAAGGGGACAAGATATCTTTGAAATGTAATTGAGCATTCTGCTACACATATAGTACAGTTAGTTCTCGATTTACAACAGTTCATGTAGTTACCGTTCAAAGTTACAATAGCGTTAAAAATGTGACTGATAACAATTGTGCACACTTAATGACATTGCAGCATCCCCATGGTCATGTGATTTTCATTTGGGTGCTTGACAACTTGACTTACATTTATGACAGTTGCAGTGTCCTGGGATCATGTGATCTCCTTTTGCAACTTTCTGACGAGCAAAGTCAATAGGGAAACCAGATTCACTTAACAACCATGTTACTAATTTAGTCATAAAATGGGGCAAAACTCACTTAACAAATTTCTCACTTAGCAACATAAATTTGGGTCTCAGTTGTGGTTGTAAGTTGAGGAAAACCTATACAACTGTTTAACATAACAGCCAGTTTATGGTTCCTATTCAAAAGGGTACTTTCAAGAGTAGAACATAAAATCTTTTATGCTGTAACTGGTTTCTCTAACCTATTTGAAATGTAATACATTTGACAATAATGATGTGATCAGTTATTATTAATCTATCGTGGTCGTAGAAAATGTCAGCTTTCTATTGTGCTAATTTACAAACTAACAACCGGAGAACCGGTAGTGGAAATTTTGAGTAGTTCGGAAAACCGTCAAATACCACCTCTGACTGGAGATTTTACAGTATCCTTCCCCTGCCATGCCCACCAAGCCACGCCCACAGAAACGGTAGTAAAAAAATTGAATCCCACCACTGAGTAGCATGCTGTATGTATTTATTTGTTTGTTTGTTTGTTTGTTTATTTGGTTTGTCAATTGCTTACAAGATAATAGGTATAAGTAAAAACATAGTTATGAATGCCATGGATACATATAAGAACCCAACCGAGAAATAATTCACTTATTGTTCAGTGTAACTAACAGAATAGGTTAATTATATAAGCTATGACTAAGTGAACGATTGGTAAGTATGTCATGGGAACATCACCTCAAAGTTACACAAGGTTTATATACTTATTGGTGGATAGCACTTTCTTTCACTTTTTGTGAATGGACAGCGTTGGCTGATACTTTGACCCAATTGATTTTTTTTTCCACAGCTGCCCCATTTGTGCCAGCCTCTCCGACTGCAAAGGGAGCAGCTCTCTCCATGGTCCCTTTTCAGAGGCTCTGTAGTACAGTTGTAACTCATTATGAAGCTAATTTTTTTTAATACGTGCCTTTGCTGAGAGGCAACTTGACTGTTACAGTTATACAACTGGCATTTTTGCAACTCTCACATTTTTTTTATATTCAAGCACAGCATCTGTTATGTTAAAAGGCAGAAATGCTAAAATGATTTAGAATGAACAGTACTAGTTGCTACAGGGAGATGATTCCCTTACAAAACTATGTATTCCTCAGGGTTCTTTTTCCTGCAAGTTTTACAACTTTAACTATCATGTGTGTTATGTTGTTAGTGCAATGTTTCTCAATTTCAGCAACTTTAAGATGTATGGACTTCGACTCCCAGAATTCCCCAGGCAGATTGTGGGATTTGAAATCCACACATCTTAAAGCTACTGAGATTGAGAAGCACTGATATATTGTAGTATTTAATTAGATCATAACCTTTGGGTTGTTTCTTTACAGTTATCTTTCTTTTACTCACATTTGAGAAAGATTAAGAGATCAAATAAGATGTTCAATCTGTCCCCATCCCGTATCAAGAATGACACCCAAAAAATATACACTGATTTTACAAATGGGTATATAATTACAGTTCTTTTTCATGATAGGACAGTAAGCAGATAATACATCTATGACTACATATATGCGTGCAAACACAATGAGTACATTCCTAATACAACATGCTTCTAAGTTTCTCAGGGATAGTATTATGTCAACCTATTGAGACAAGTGAAATATCCAGGTGCAAAAGCAAAATATAGCAGAGATCAGACCTGGATAACAAACTACACCTAATTTGAGTCCAAGTTTGCAATTACAACAAAACAAACAATATTGACAGAGAGTTCTAGCATATAGTGGTGTCTGAGCAAGAAATCAATGGACTGTTGATTTTGCATATATCAAATCCTTCTCTTTAGCCTCTAAACACAAAACACATCCACTTTTTCCCCCTGCTCCAATTTTGCTAATTTGTTAAGAAATTGCCCCAGGCATTCAGTAATCACATGAGTAGAATAATGGCTATGTTTGTATGCTAGTTATCAGAAGGAGATGCGTTTCTTACCTTTGTCAGATGATGATTCTGACTTGTGCTTGGGTTTCAATCAAGTTCGTACCACTTTGGGAGAACTGGTTGTTAACTTTCTGAGCAGTTTGGTGAAGTGGTTGTTGGAAAAAATAATTAGGGCAGAGAACCAGTTGTTAAATTATTTGAATCCCACCACTGGATTCAATGTATTAAACTACATTCAGTGAACACTTGGTTTGCCATATTATTTCTGTCACACTGCATACAGAATGGCTTTCCTAACCCTTCTCTTCTGATTTTTAAATTCTCACTTTTAAAAAAAATATTTTATACTGATATACAATCTGTACCTTTTTACACTTTACACATTTTAGCTTTTTATTTTATTTTTCTTTCTAATAGCTGTACCCCAATCCCTTAGGCTGGCCTATGATAATAAAAACCCAATTTGATTTGTTACCTTTATCATTTTAAGGGAGGTAATAAAAATCCAAGAAACTGAAGAGATCATTAAAGACAAAATTCAGAGTTACATAAGCACTTAAAGCACATTGCCACCAGCCTCTTGACTTTTTTTTTTAATTTCCAGGAGAGATTTTTAAACACAGTAGTAGTTCAGTAGCACTACTGTGTTTTATTTATTTATGTATTTTTAAACTTCAAAGGCAGCAGCAATTACGATAGTGCCAAAATATTCTTATATTCCTATAAACATAGCAGAGCTGCATCAGTAGAAGTATCATTGTCATAGCATTATTACACAGACAGACACCTGGATAGCTTTATCAACAAGAAGAGAAATGTTTCTATTCACTATAATCTGCTTAAATACCAAATCTCATCTTCACAAGAGAGTCATAAATTGCTAACATCTCCTGGGACAAATTAAACTCTTCTTCTGTACTAGTACAGAACTTTAAAGGCATAATGCACCAGGGAATAATATATTTCAAATAGCAGCGATATTGCTATTTGACCAAAAAATATACTCTCTGAAATTTTACAGATAAAAATAAAGTCTAGAGCAGTGGTAGTCAACCTGGTCCCTACCGCCCACTAGTGGGCGTTCCAGTTTTCATGGTGGGTGGTAGGGGTTTAGTCCCCTACTTTATAAATCACCATTACTGTGGAACTGGCGGGCAGTTAGAAAATTTTACTAACAGAGATACAAAAGTGGGCGGTAGGTATAAAAAGATTGACTACCACTGGTCTAGAGTATCATTTTCAGTAGTGGTATGTTGATATACTTTCTTGATGGAATACAACAGAGAAAAGAATCCCAAATGCCAGGAACATTATTTCATTAGAGTCCAACAGTTTACAGAAATGAATTCCTTTTCAGGAGCAGTCTAAAAGCAAAAACCAACACAGAAGAAAACATTAATATATATAATATGCTTACAATATGCATACAAGAATATACCAGACAATATATACCCTACCTGATTCAGTTTATGTATAAAATAGGATTGCCTCATGTTTTAGTATAGGCAAATGAATGTATTTCTTTAAAAACAGTGTTCTTATATCTATTTATTTAGCTTAATTACCACAGATAAGAATGTTGCTATAATAAATACCAAGTGAATATCAACAAGGAACATGAACATTCTTCAGTATATTACATGTGTTTTGGCATAGATAAAAAGTAAAAAAATAAAAGAGCCCTCTAAAGCCAAAAGCACAGTAATTATTTTACCTTGTAAACATTTATAAATTGTTGAATGAGTTGAAAACAACTGTTATGATTTATAGTACAAAAAAATGTGAAGTGGGCAAAATATTTAAAGGAAAATATATCTTTAAAATCAGAGGTAGATTCTGAATGTCTTCATCTGGTCCCTTAGACTATTCTGTGATAAAATCCATTTGCTTTTTTTTTTTTTTTGGTAAACAATCTGAGTTTTCCTTCAAAAATGCTTTAGAATCAAAGTACAAATCTGTAATATTTTGTCTAAAATGTTTTTCTAAAAGGAACTCCTGTTTGGCACTGCCAAAATATTCTTTTGTACTGATCATTAAAAGTTTAATAGTTACTATTAAATAGGTACTGTATGGCATACGCAACATGAGGAGCTGAGGTGGGATTCTACCAGTTCGCACCTATTCACTAGAACCGGTTGTTAACATTCTAAGCATTCGGAGAACTGGTTGTTAGAAGAAATTACTGGCCTAATCCTGTAAGGAAGGCAGGAAGGAAACATTCTGGTGTTGCTTACAGAAACTGCCTCTCTGTTAACCCTTATTACATTCTTGGCAGGACTAGACTTCCTGTCTCAGGAACTTCTCTGGAGTTTTTTCCCTCCTTTGCTAGTACTTTGCTTGTGTGGAGTGACCATTTAAAATTACATTGACCCTGAAAAATGTGACTTATGACCATTTTTCACACTTACAACCGTTGCAGCATCCCCACAGTCATGAGAGACCAGGCAAGGAGATGCGTGCCTCAATGTGAGTGATATTGAGTTGGCCTCACCCAGCCAATAACATGACCACCAAGCCATATCCACCCAGTCACATGACCACCAAGCCACGCCCACCACCTAAGCCATGCCCACAGAACCAGTTGTTAAAAATTTGAATCCCACCCCTGATGAGGAGATAAGTTGTTTGCCTTTCCTGCTTTCTTTCTTTTTTAAATAATAATCTGAGTTTTGTCTAGTATTTTCTGGAATTCTCTCATCTAATTACTTACTAGTCCTGACTCCACCAAAAACTGAAACACCCCTAACTATGGTATGAGCATACCCTATTAGCCTTTTGTATATGACATATTCATTTTTCTCATCCTTAGTTCATAGCTGTAGCAAAGTCTTTACATATTCCAAGGTTAAAGTAATATTTTTACTGTTATTAAGGTTAGGATGCTGCATCAATATGATGATAAAGGGCTGGGATCTGTATGGCCTTGTACAATGTCTCAACTCATTCCTTTCAATGGGTTTAGACAAGCTGAATGCATACTAAACTGAGAGGGTAAAAGCTGAGCTATGATGCTGGGTTTACTCCCAGGCTTGCAAAGTTCTCTAGCCCCACATCTTGCTGGTCATATATTAAATGTTGCTGACTGGGAAGAGCAAGACTATGCAACTAAATTCAGCACTCCAGCAACCATAGAAACCTTCAGAGAGAGAGAGAGAGAGACTTCACACACCTGTAAACAGTATATCTTCACTCATAGATATGGAGGAGTGTTTCCAAGTAGTCCATCTTCTATCAGTGGCTGACTAAAATCCAACATGTTTTTTAGCCTGGCTTTGATGTTTGAGTGTATTTCAGACCCTAGAAGATACAGTGCTGCATCCCAGAGCAAGCAGAGATGACAAAGCATTGACTGTGCGAGGGGAAGGAGAAAAGGCTGCACCTGTAACGATCCCAGCCAGAATTCGACAGATTATTACACAAAGCTTATCTGATCCATCATCCTCAGGTACTGCCTTAAATTGGACATCCCTTTAGCAGATAATGTGTGTGGATTCAAATGCAGGGAAATGGCAGGAAGACTGAATCTCATAAATTGATACTAGAAATGGATTGACTTCCTAACTGGATGTGTTCTGGATGAGTTGTTCCAGTACCTCCCAGAATTTCCTTCACAAACGTGAAAAGATTGCTAGTCATCTATTCTTTCCAGTAAAATATTTAGTTTCCTCTGGTTCCAAGGCAGAGTATCAATTAAGTGGCTGTCAACTTGGAAAAGTGACTGGATCCATTTCCACGCTGTCAGTCCCAATCACTCCTTAAATGAGCATAAGCCATTTCTATAATAGCTCATAATGATCCTGATTGCACCAAGAGATGAGTAGTACTCCCTCCACTTGACCAACGAGGGAGTGTAGAAATTGGCTAACATTACATCTCAGTTCTATTGTGGAAAGGACAAAACATGTTGATGCTCAGTATCCATCACATATTTTATAGTCATTAGCAAAATAGTTTTAGTGCACAACTACTTCTCATTTATTTTTTTTACAGGAAGGCTAAAGGAGTTGTGATAAGAGGTTCTGTGAAACTGGAAACAGCAAACTCTTTCAGGGGCTCTTTCAAGAAGAATGTGTATTCAAAATAAGGAAGCAAGTCTTCATATACCATAGACCTGGAGGCTGGGTTGATATATTTTTTTCCAGGCTTAGTTTTTCTTAGGTCCTCAATTTTGCAAATTTCAGAAACTATGTGAAAATGTCTATGGACATTTAACATCATTTCATGTGCATTTCTCTGTAGGTATGCATCCTTGTGAGCATCTTTTCTACTATATTCATTTTCAAATTATTCTATATTCAAATTGTTCTACAAATTGAGGTTGCTTTGATGTAGTCTGTCTAATCAAGTTCTGATGCAACAGATTTATCATCCATCTCTATTTATGTCAAATATTTGCTAAATCCAAAATGCCAGCTTATTCTTTTTGATGTTAAGTACTGGTGTTCAAATCTATTTACTATTGGCATTACATTGCTAAGCATGTTCCTGCTTCCTAAAAACAAAGGTATGTGGTGTTTGTGTATATGCATAAAGCTACACCTCTAGATAAATTAACAATACTGTATTGATTTCAAGCCACTAATTGATTGACTTGCAATAATCTATTGATGAATGTTTCAGATTTACAAAAAACAGACCTTCCAGCCAATATGCAAGAAGAAAACCGCTTATTGCAGAAGGAACTTTCTCGCCTCGAGGACCTGTTGGCACACACTCGTGCAGAGAAGGATGAGTTGGCTAGTAAATATCAAGCTATTAGTGAAAGGGTAAGAATTAGATATGTAACTTAATAAAGTAATTTTTGAATGAAGATTTATTGATAGAAGTGGGAACCTACATTCAAGTAATCATAGGTGTTTACTGGTTGTGAGCATATTTCATGTATAACACACAGGGAGGGAGAGATAAAAATGAAGGAGTATGTACAAAATATATATTATGTGTATCAGTAGAAATTTTGCATTTCAACATTTATTTAAAGGAGATAGTAATTTAAGTTCTGCCATGTCTGGTGGATTGATATGACTTCTAAATGAAAGTCTTGTGGGTGGGAGAGCTATAATATGAAAGGTGGTTAGTAATTTAAATAGTATTTTAGATTTTAAGAAATCAGATTGCTGCAAATTACAGTCTGTGATGGTAATGTCTGTTTAATAACTGATTTAGATCATTTGAAAGAGTAAGTTACAGTATATACAGTAGGTTTGCCATATTTCTTCAGAACATATAAAATTGTACAGGACGGGAAATTAATTCAAGTTTTGTTTTAAGTTACCAGATGAATATTAAAGAACATATTTCTTTAAATTAATTTAGAGACAAAATAAACTGCTAATAAACTAGCACAGCAGGATAAGTCTTGAGGATTGAATACTGTTTATATTTGCATTTGTTCTCTCTTTTTTCTAACAGATTAACTCTGTATTTTTAAGCATTTGCATTAATTGATATAATGGATGTGGCATATATTTATGCAATTCTAAAACTATGTTTTCATTTGAATAATATCTTTGGCAGAGCGTCTCCATTTCCATGAATAAATGTGTTCTTTTTGAGACACAGTGTTTTTAAAAGAAGCTAACTATTTTTAAAAAATTTGTTTTGATCTTTTGAGATGGCACAAGAAAAGTTCTGTCTGAGTGAATTTCCCATACTGGATAAGCCAAGCAAATGATTTTCAAGAAAAAAAGTATATCTATCCTTAAGTGGGCGTAACATAAATAATTGTGGCATGATTGCAGAAATGAATAAGTTCATGATCACCCCCTGCACCATCCATCTGCGCATGTGCATGCGACCCCCAGCGTGTGCTGCACATCTCTGCGCATGCACACGTGTCTCCCATGTCCCCCCCCGTGCATGCCGCCAGATACCCAACAATCAGCTGTCAGGCGGTGGTGGTGCGCGCACATGCGCAGTGGGCTCTTCTGGGCAAGCTCTCGCGTGCTGGGGGAAATGGCTCTGCATGCCACTTCTGGCACATGTGCCACAAGTTTGCCATCACGGGTATATAGATTGTTTGAATATGATACTTCTCAAAGAAAATTTATTTTAGCAAAATCTTTGAAAGTACTTCTGGAAACAGACCTGTTGTTTATTGTCAGAAAAGTGGTAAACCATTTTTTTCACTCATGAAACTGGATCCTGACACATTGTACTTACATAACTTTTAAGAAACCAGCCCCTGATTTTTTGCTATTCTGTATGCAGAACCTTGTTTTGCCAATTGGATCACAGCAGGTATTTATTTCTGTAGCTGCAGCAAGCACAACGAGCAGAGGAGGAAGGAAGCACAGCATTCCTGCAGATGAGACAGCAGTTTAAATCGGATGAAAAAGCACATAAGCGTAAGATGCAAGCCTTCCAGGATGGGCAACAGCATCAGGCTCAGCTAGTACAGAAGATGCAAAATAAGGTGAGTGGAATTACTTCTGTCAGTTGTGCCTATGACAAGATCCTTTTGATGCAGCAAATAAGGAGTTTATAAGCTTATGATCTTTTTGATGGAGTTTATAAGGATTAAAAGTATTGAGGATTTGTGCTGTAGTTCTTCATTAATTTGGAAGGTCCTCTGTTGAACAGTCAGAATACAGACTCCTAGCAGTTCTGGCTTCCTTCTGTTGCAGTGCTTGCTAGCATAGGAGTAACATTCATGATTACATTTGACCTGCTGCTATTTTCTTTCTAGCCCAGTTTAACATCGAGAAGGACAGGCAAGTCATCCAAATTACTCATCATGACACTATGTTCAATTTTGCAAGCCATCAGAAACCTTAATACAAGAGAGATGAATCTGAATCTAGCATGAGTGATGGGTTGGATGAAGGCAAACATACTAAAAGTTAATCTAAAGGAAAACTTAGTCTAATTTACATAAGGTTTTCCTTCTACAAGATCAGAATTGGAGATGCTTCCTGATCTTTGTTTATGAATGTGCAGGTTTTATTTATTTATTTAGCATATGGCATCAGAGGTCATGCAATCACTGATATACAAATTTAGTTTAAATAAAGTATCAGTAAATATACTGTGTGTGTATGTGTATGTACCATAATAAAATCACCATAATATGAAGCCATAGAATTGCAATGGGATAGATGTTTTTCTAATTTGATACTTTAGGAACAGATGGTAACAAGTTAGTAATAATTTTCTCGTGAAATATAATAGTTAATAAATAATAATATAGTGTTTCTTATTAGTTATTAATGAATGAGTTAATAATAATTAACTTATTAGGCTGATGTGCCCTGTTATGTTTACTTTATTACATTTATTTCTGGAGAACGTATTCATTGTTTTTTGCAAGTACATCTTCCATCTCTTAAACCTGTCCCTTCTATGAAATTATAGAATTCTGTTAAAAAAGTTGCTGGAAATGCCTGATAGAGCTCTACACTTTTCAGACAAGTTTTTGAACTGCCCTATCATAGGTTCCACTCCCTGATTACAGAAAAAACACTAAATATTTACTGCTTTATTACTTTTTAGAAACTTAAACTCAGTGCTTAAACACACTTTACTTATTAATTTATATTTAATATATTTAATTTAATTACAATTTCACTGATTTATTCTTTGTGAAAGAGAATTAAAAACTGTAGCCATTTAATAAAATAATATTTTAATAGAATTGTGATGATAAAAATTAGTTCTCACAATGAACTGTTTTAATCAGCATTCCTCATGTTGGTGAAGGAGAAGGAAAATTAGAGCTTGGGGACAGAGTCAAGAGAGGAATTAGTCTGGAGTCATTAAGTTCAAGTGGTCCAAGTCCAGCCCTCTTGAATCCAGAAAACTCGTATCTAACACCAATTTAGTGCTGATCTTTGGTTGACTAGATTCTTGTGTATAGACATGAATAATAAATAACCTTAACTGAAACTTAACACATTGTCCTGATTCCTTGCATCTGACAGTCTTCAGAATTTGAAGTGCTCTTTAACCTATAAACCATGCCAGTGATTCTCAACCTGTGGTCCGTGGACCCCTGGGGTGGGCCACAATGTCATCACAGGAGTTCCGCAGAAACTTTAAGAAATATTATGATTTAAATGATTTAAAATTTTAGTTAAGCCTTGGAAAGTCCGTGGCCATGGTCCCTGCCCACAAAAGGTATTTAAAGGGGGTCTGTGGTGAAGAAAAAAATTGAAAACCCCTGAATTATGCTATTTCAGAAATTACGATAATGGATATGTAGTATGTTTTATGGACACCAAATTGGGGGAGGATGATTTAAACAAATAATTTGCCAAAGGAATCATGCAATCTAGATAGATGTGCGAATAGTAGCTTTCAACTGTCATATGGGTGATTTTTAAGATGTATACAATAGCTACTATGAGGGGGAAACATATTTTCTATCTAAAAAGTTCTTTGTAGGCTTTCAGAGAAGAATTAAAGAAACGAGGTACCAGCATTGGCCAGTTTTGTACCAGCCCATTAAACCAAAAGATCAGTTTGGAGTTTATTTGAAAGCAGTTTCCATAGGAATTTACAGGGTTCACACAACATGCTAAAAGAAAACCAAAACCAAAACCCCACCATTATGACTTAGTAAATCTGAATACTAACTAGATGTTTGGATCTATGAAACCTTCCTTTCATCTCTGAAAAAAATTTCTGGAGGAACAAACAGCCTTCCCAAGCTAATCTTCTTCAGTTGTGTTCAATCAGTTTCCATATGCACTAGACATTTGGCCAAAATCTGTATCCCATAGGATAGAGAGTGAGGAAATATCTTTGAAAAAGACTAATTTCTAATGTTTAGAGGGTTATATTGCTGAAAGTGAAAGTTCTTCCCTATTGCATCTTCTGCTTAATATTCACACTCATTGATTTTCCCCTTCCTAAATCTTTACTTTTTAAAATCTATGCTACACATCCAAAAATGTTTTTCTTTTTGACATTTTAAAGGCTTCCCTCCCATAATATATTCCTTTTCTTCTCCCACTTTAGTTTTGTCAGATTTCTGCTTTTCTTCTTACTTTTAATTTGACCTGGTTCTTATCACAATTTACATTTTATATATTTGTCTTCCCCATCTTCCCCACTCCCCACAAAAACCTACAATATCCCAAATAGATGACTTAGTAACAATCCAGGGAAGAGTTCTATAAAGATGAATATATTGTCTCTTAAACTGCCTGGGAAATTAGGGCTGGGCTAACAGATCTGATTTCAAGTCTTGCTGCTGGCCAAGTATGATGGAGCCAGAATGAAAAAAAATATACACTGGATTTGATTGCATTTAAGTGTAAAATTAATTGGAAATTGCAGTTAAAATATATTCATTCCCTATGTATTTCATAATATGCTTTAAAAATTATAATTTTTGGAAAGGACTGGCTTGACTTGGAATCTCAAGATGCACAACCCTGACCTCCTGGATCAAACTTCTATTTCTTTTACTTTAGTTAAATCATCTTCCCTCAGCTGCTCTGTTCATTGTTCTTTCTTTTTCTCTTGAATATTCCGATTACCTAAATCTCTTTCTCCATCATGGTATAGGTATTGCAATACAAGAAAAGATGTGGAGAACTGGAACAGGAGTTACTGGAGAAAACCTCTGAGTGTGAGCGTCATAAACAGATGGTCTGTATTTTATATGAGGTTCCCTCCCCCATTAATGATAAAGCATATGGCAGGGGTCCTCAATCCCTGGTCTGCGACACACACATAATGCCATCCCCCCTTCACCCTCCCCCACCCCACCGCCACTGCTGTCACAGCTGCTGGTCCGCAGAGCCAGAAAAATTGGGGACCACTGGCATAGGGCACCTAAACTCTTAACATTGTGCATAACCCTGTTCTACAACGTCATGTTCAATTCAGGGGAGTGAATGTTTGGAAACTAGCCTAGCCAGCCAAAAATCATATCTGATATACGTGTTTGTTGTATAATTCATATCATTTCAAGATTCCCACAGGTTTCATGAATGTCCAGTTGTTTCTTCCAGTAATGTATAGTTTTGATTTTAAAAAGCTAGCCGAGTTCTTTATTGTGAGACAAATCTTTTATTCAGCCAGCTAGCAATGATAATTTAAGGCTAAGCCAGTTAACCAAGAAAAAATAAATTTTCTATGCATGCGGGTGATACCCTACAGAAGTCCTCTGGGTGGCTTTCATACAGTTACAATGTATATAAAATAAGCTATTAAAACTTTTTAAAAGTGCAGTGCAAATTATAGGCTAAAACCATATTCTTTTAAAAGACAAAATGTATATGGAAGGTTGCATTGTGACCCTGTATTGTTAGCCATTGGAATACTTGTGAAGGTTTCTAAGCTGCTGACATTTGCCAAAAAACATTAATATCTGTAGAAAAAGGCATTGCAGCAGTCAGCAGATAGGCAGAGATTACACAGAACACTCAAGTATTCAGTTTTCTACATTTATAGGCTTGGAGCAGTTAATTAATAAATAAAAACCTTGTGAAGTCCAAACTTATATTTGTAGTTCTCTGCATACAGTTATCCTAGCAACTCTATATGATATATAGCAGGTACCTGAAAATAACATCCAAATTAATCTTAGTACTCTCATTGTTCATCGTAGAGGCGCTATCTTGGGTTGTGTATAATAGCTTCCCAAGCTGGTTGTTCTATCTATCTTGGATTTCAAATTCTATAATTTTTAGCATTTGCTATGATATTTGGAAGTCATCCAGGTTGGAGGCATTTTTTTAAAAAAATCAGTTAAACAAGTTACAGTGTTTCTGAAACACTGCAAAACTTTACAGAACCTGAACAAAGAAGCATATGGAATTAATAAGCAAGAATGTTTTTACCTCTGTTAAGGCTTCTTTGGTGCTCTGGAAAAATGTATACCTGATTGAGGGTTGTTGTTATTTTGTTTGTTTGTTCTAGTATATTATTATCATTGTAGGAACTGATTTTAGAATGGCCATGGAATTTTTTTACATAAAAATAAAATTTAAAGGAAAGAAATATCTAAATTGTTTGATATCAGGAGCAAATGCACAAAATAAAAAGGTTGTCTAATCTGGATATTAAAATTGTCCAAGCATTAATGGGGATTTGAGTAGATTAAAGGAAAATCTTAAAACTGCAAAAAAAAAAAGACAAAAACAGGATCAAAACATACTGAAAGAGGAAAACAAAAGAGAAGTAAAAGCGTGTGTTATAGAAATGAGAAAGTTTGTTGAGAAATATGCCTTTTCGTGGGACTTCTAACTATGGTAGGCATTGGAGAATCGTATCAGTGAGGTAACATATAGAGTTATGCAAACTGAAGTCTTCCTTGACTGATGCAAATTTAACTCAGAACACATTTCATTTCTAGAAATTGCCAGTTGATGGCATTTTATAATATACCTTTTCTCTCCAATCTTGAAGCTCAAATCTTGTAAAGGAAAATTTCAGGATTTTAAGTAAGCAAATTGTATGGTGTATGATACGTGCAATTGCATACATATCCCAAATCTGCTAATAAATCTTTCTGTACTTTAATTATTGTTATAATTCAATCTGTCATCTTTTCTTCTTCCTAGCTGCAGACAAGATTAGACTCAACAGAATTACGTTTACGACGCATTGAACATGACAATAATACAGAGTTGGAGAACACTCTCATCCACCTAGAAAAAGAGCAGCAGAGGTAACATTGGTATTTTTCTGGGATGAATTGTTTATTTTATTTGGAAGACTCCAAGTCAGGGAAGGCTAATTAGTTGCTTTAAACTGAAATGTGCAACTACAAGCCACTGAAATTTTATGTGACGTTAGCAATATCCTTTTTGTGACATATTATTTCAACTACGAGCAAGGCCTTTGATTTAGATTTGAGAGATCTAGGTCCCATTTCTTGTACTTTAATCCTTCGTACTTACCATTTTTCACATTTACGACCATTGCAGTATCCCCATGGTAATATGATCAAAATTTGGACGCTCGGCAACTAGATCACATTTATGACAATTGCAGTGCCCTAGGGTCATCTGATAAGCAAAGTTAATGGGGAAGCCAGATTTACTTAACAACTGTGTTACTAACTTAACACCTGCAGTGATTCACTTAATATCTGTGGCAAGAAAGGACATAAAATGGGACAAAATTTACTTAACAAATGTCTCACTTAGCAACATAAATTCTGGGCTCAATTGTGGTTGTACGTTGTGGATTACCTATAGTACTATTGTGCCCTTTGTTTTGTTTTCCTGTAGGAGTGCTACCCTTTCTCAGATGAACACTTTACTTCAGGAACAGCTGGAAGAGGTGAAATGCTCAAAACAGAGACTAGCTGGGGAGCTAGAGAGGAATGCTACTGATATGCACAGGCTGAGAAGTGAACTAGAACAGAAGGTATCTCTTTGGTGCAAAGGCAGGAAGTATTGCTTGATATTTTTTGGGGAATGACTTACTACACTATGACTAGAGATCTATTAGTTCCATGTTATATTATTATAATGCACCAGGGTAATTTGTTTATATTTTTCTTTGTGTGTTTATTTATGTGGTGATTTTAATCAATTTAATATTCAAACTGGGTCATCTGTTTATAATTTCATTTAGTTCCAGGATTCACTCTCTACTTTCCTTATCTTATTGTTGCTGTTGGGGAAAAAATCAAGGCAAGAGGCATATGGAGTTAATTAAACTCAGCCTTTCTGATACCACTACATCCAGGAGGCAGCTTTCAATTATAGAAGAATATAATATTAACTATAATATTCATACACTTCCATTGCTTTGGGAAATGCTGCAGCCTGTATACCCTCTTCTCTAATAATCTCACCCTGCTAATTGAAGCCTTCTGCACTATGTGCAAAATAGGTTTTGGAGGTGGGAGTGATTTGGAATGGTTTAAACAGAGGATTACAAGCATGGTTCTTCCCAATCTAATTCCAATCTTGATTAGGAATTCCTCCTCCACTTTGTTTCAGCTTTAACATGTATTGCATGCCTACTAATTGCATGATTATAATCATACCCAGTTTTGTCCTCATTATTAGTTTGTTGGAAGGGTTGACTTTTCCCTTTCCATGTGTTTCTCTCTTTTTTCGGTGAAATTTTGGAAAGGTTAGTTTCCATTTAGCATGTAGTGTAAATCCATTTTATGTTTAGTTAAGCTCACTGAATATAGAACTTTTGTTTAAAAAAATGTAGAATAGGCTTTGTCCAACAAATAACTGACTCATCTCTCAAAATGGTAAATGAATTCACAAATGTATTGGAAATATTGTAGTATATGTGACTTTGGTGAATTCAACGTTCAAAAATTTTACTATGGATTTGTTTTTATATGTATACAATTTTGTTCAACTATTTAGTGCAATGTTCCACCCATAGTTTTTATAGATTTATGCAACAAAAGCATATATTTCTGGGTGGGAAAGGCAAAGATGGAGATTCCATATAAAGGGGGAAGACAACTAGTTCCACTGATTTAAAAGAAACTATTATTTATATGTTTGCCAAATTAGACCTAAGACAGAGAAAATATGTAGACAATTGTTATTTCTTCAATGAAAGATACTTTCCTACTTTTTGCATTATGTTGCCTACAAGTACTTTGTCTACTATAAAGAAACGCTGTAGTAAAATATTCAGCTTTTATTGCCAACTTTTTTGTTGGAACAACGTGCCTATTATTGCGTATATAAGAGTTGTATTATTAGAATTATATTTTTTGGCTCTCTGATTATTTGGCATAGGTTCATAAATCTTACAAGTATCAGATCACAATATGAATCTTTCTATGTGTATATTTTTGGAAAATAAGATTCCTCTTTCTCTTTCCTACACTAACTAGGTTGATGATAGGATTTGGGGTTTTTACTATATTTAACCCAAAACTGAACTTTACCTTTCTGGACAATAATCTTGGTCATTTTGATTCCATATTAATTTTTGACATTATTTGGAATACTTTAAACCAGATATATTGCTTAGTTCAAGCTCTTACTTGTTCAGCCAGAGAAGATGCTAACCTTACCACGCAGAATGGAGAATTTACAGTTTTGTTATATTTGCAAGATGATGTAGCAGTTTCTCTCTTGGTTTCAAAGTGTACAGGTAGTCCTTGATTTACAACAGTTCATTTAGTGACCATTCAAAGTTAAAATGACACTGAAAAAAGTGACTTATGATCTTTTTCACACTTACAACAGTTGCAACATCCCCATGGTCACATGATCAAAATTTAGACAGTTGCGGTGTTCCAAGGTCATGTGATCATCTTTTGTGACCTTTTGACAAGCAAATTCAACAGGGAAACCAGATTTACTTAACAACTTTGTTACTAATTTAACAACTGTGGTGATTCACTTAATAACTGTGACAAGAAAGGTCGTAAAATGGGGCAAAGCTCACTTAAATGTCTCACTTAACAACATAAATTTTGGGCTCAATTGTTGTCATAAGTCGAAGACTACCTGTAGCTTATTAGAAGCAAAATGTTACTTAGCACTTATAAGTAATGTATTTTTTCTTATGTTTTTCTTCATTACTTATATCTTTTTCACTTATACTCTTTCAAGATATTAAATATAATTAATGACAAGAAACCAAGTAATGCATTTTTGATGTTGCTTTTTTCCAAAGTTCATAATATTGGTAGTCCACAACTTACTACTGTTCATTTAGTGATCATTCAAATGTACAATGGCACTGAAAATAGTGACATGGCCATTTTTCACACTTTATGACCGTTGCAGCATTTCCATGTTCACATGATTTATATTCGGATACTTGATGACTGGTTCATATTTATGACAGTTGCATGTCCAGGGTCATGTGATCACATTTTGCAGTCTTCTGACAAAGTCAATGGGCAAGCCAGGTTCACTTAATAACCATGTTACTAATGTAACAATGGCAGTGATTCACTTAACAAATGTGGCAACGAAAGTTGTAAAAATGGGGCAAAACTCACAACAAATTTCTCATTTAGCAACATAAATGTTGGGCTCAATTGTGATCATAAGTCGAGACCACCTGTACTTTACCATGTTCCCCTTTCCAGGAATTTCAGTAAAATGTAGGTAAATAATCAGTAATCCTACTATTTGCCTGTTCTACATTTCCCTGACTTCATAAGACTTACACAGAATTCTGTAGTATTGTAGAAGATTGCTTTAAAAGAGTAATTATTAATAGTATGGATGATCCCTTTGGCCAGGGCTGTCAAACTCACGGCCTGCGGGCCGAATGCATCAAGCTCTGGCCATGCCCACAGCAGGTTTAGCAAGGGGGGGGGGGAAAGTCCCGTTAGTCACATGACGCCACCATGAAGACATGAGTTTGACAACCCTGCCTAGCTATTCTCCATCAATAAAATGTTAAAAGTGATGGAATCTACTGTGTGTCAGTCATGTTTTTTCCACTGTTCTTTCCAGAGCTATGATTCCTATCTCAGCAATGAACACAGTGGGATTCTCCTGCTATGGCGTCAAGCAGCCACACTTCGTGGGAACTTCGTAGAGCTTCGCACAACAGTAGAGAGGTGAGCATTATCTAAATTTACCATTGCTATAAGAATGTTTCTCATTGTTCTGCAGAAAACCGGAATGCTCTGAAACATCAGATACCACTGTGCTTATGCCCTTGTGGCAGAGCCCTATTTTTTAAAAAATGGATGTGGTCAAAATATTATTTCCAAGCATGAAATAATACTTTGGGACTTGATGGTTATCCTCAAATTAGGAAATGGTTAACCTTAAGTCAGATTATCCTCAATAATAGTGATGCTCGTCAGGAAAACTGACAAAAAGTAGCTCTGAATGCTTCAGCACCCCTCATTTGACTAATATAACCAGGGGTGGGATTCAGCCAGTTTGGACCAGTTTGGGCAAACCAGATGTTAAATTTACATCTGGTTTGCCAAACCCGGGTAGTTGAACTGACCAGCTGGCCCCGCCCTGCCCGCCCCGCCCTACCCCTCCCAGGAGTCTCCATGCAGCCTGTTTTGGATGCAGGTAAGTGCAGGGTCCACACAGAGGCTCTGGAAGGGTGAAAAACAGCACTCCCAGAAGTTCCAGAAGTCTGGAAACGGACCTGTTTCTGGCTTCTGGAGGCCCTCCAGAGCCTGTGGGAGGCTGTTTTTGCTCTCCCAGAGGCCTGAGGGAAGCCTCCAGACTCTGGGGAAGGCAAAAAACAGCCCTCTTGGAAGTTCCAGTAGGCCACACCCACCATGGCTACGCCCATCCAGCTACTGGGCAGAGAACCGGTTGTTGGGATTTTTGAATCCTACCCCTGAATATAACTGATATATACCTGGAAAATGTTATTATAATATATAATGTTAGTATTATATAATAAAGAACAGATTTCTCAGTACATTGCATCCTGTTAATTTTGCACAAAATAAAACAGCAATTCAAATTATTGACAATTATTGACAATCACTGACATGCCATTTTTGTACCACCTGGAAATGTTAGGTAATGGTGTATATACAGTAGAATTCTGAGTGAACAAAGATATTATTCTCTCATTCCCAGGGGACTTGCTGAAGCAGGAACAGACATGGCAAGAGCTTCCCGCCGCCTCCAAACTGCCTGTCTCAATTTGGATTCCAATTTGCGCCTTTCTGAGAATAGCTCTACCTGTTTGCTAGAGAAGCAGCTTCGGGAGAAAGTCCGAGAGATGATTCAGCTACAGAGTTCTTGGGATGGAGAAAAGGCTGTTCTAAGCTCCAAGTGAGAAGAATACTACTGTGTCTTTGATTTCTAAATTTCTACAGATTATTAAAGGACAAGAAGATTTAAAAGGCCTGTTGTGGGATAGGCAACCTTTTGAGTCTGGGGACACAGTTGGAATTTTGAGAACACATTACCCTATAAAATGACTGTCTTAGTGAATATAGTTAGTCATAAAACATCTACTTCCCAGACAATAAATTAGCCCTCCAGGATTCCCTTTCTCATCCCTGTTGAATTTTTATGGGACTCAAGGCAACTGTAAATAGATAAGTTAGAGGCTGGAACTTTGAAAGTCACATCCTGATTTCTTGACTTTCTTAACAAAAACAACAAAGATTGTAATGACATCTGAAAGAATAACAGACATATAATTAAATACATTTTTTTATCATAACCATCATATGCATCTTACTTCTATATCAAAGTATAGCTTGTGTGCCAGCAAAATTCCTTTTTCAGGGCTATATTACATACATCTGATTTAGTACAGTTAGATGTATGAAAGTTTATATGATAATACCGGTAAATGTACTGTATATGGTATCTTTAGGCAGGAGTGTCAAACTCAATTTCATTGAAGGCTGCATCAGGGTTGTGTTTGATCTCGGGGGATGGTGGGCGTGGCCAAGGTGGGCATGGCCAGCTCGACATCACTCATGTCAGGGGTGCCTGTGGTGACCCGAACACTCTACCAGCAAAATGGAACTCGGGAGGGCTGCACGCGGTCCTCCCGAGCTCCATTTTTGCTAGCAGAGGGCTGCAGGAGGTCATCGCAGCCTAAAATGAAGTTCAGGTGGGCCACACAAGGTCCTCCAAGCTCCATTTTCACTGGCAGAGGCACTGCAGGCTGGTCCTTTGCTATTTCCAGGGTGGCCCCATGGGCCAGATCTAAGTACCTCGCAGACCAAATCTGGCCCGTGGGTCTTGAGTTTGACACCCCTGTCTTTAGGCATCTAGTTGAGACAGAAGGCCCAGTGAGGTCAGAAGAGTGGTATAAATAAGCATGCTTATTTACCCTGAGCTTGAGGACACAGGAAACCACACACACACACACACACATGGAAGGTCCCCAGGAAACAGCATTATCAAGAGCCTTGCAATATATCAGGCAGAAAGTAAAAAAGTACATGTTGGAATGCTGGTTGAAGGACTGACTCTTTAAGTTTGCACTCCTTAAGAAAGAGGGCAGATGAGGCAACCAGGCCTATGGAGGATATAGGCTATTTTCATTGCCTCCAATCTCTGGTTCCAGACCTTGCTCCTCCTGAGCATTTATGTCAACAATACAAAGTTTCTTGCTGGATTTGCTTTTTTCTTATCATTCTGTGGTCTGGATTACATAGCATATTGTGATCTAATCACTTTCAGCTCTTTTCTCCAGCCTTTTTAAGCTGATGTGTGAATTGGAACTTTTGTTTCTTTATAATGATCTCAAAGATGATCTCAAAGATGATTTCAAAGATATAAATAACATGTTCTTTATGAGTTACTGATTAATCCTCCTGACTAATACATCTTCTGTGTCTGGTTTCTTGTCTTAACAGGATTACTGAATTGACCACTTTGGGTGATAAGCTTAAGGAACAGAACACAAAGAAAGACAAGACAATCTCTGCTTTAAAAATGGACATTCAGAAATTGGTACAAACCCCCCCACCTCAACCCTACTTTCTGTCATTCTGTCAAACAAAACCCCATCTGTTTTCCACCACAAGCATTCTCACAAAGGGCCTAATAATCACATTGAGCCACAATACTAGATTGATTTGCCTACTCATGTTTCTCTGTTTTCCCCCATGTCCATTTCTGAGCAACTGCTTGTCTTTGAACACTAGGAAGCCAGTAAAATTGGAGATCTAGAAGAAATGAAGGATCTGAAGGAAGAAACTGAATCTTTGCAACATACTTTAAAAAATATTACAAAGGTGTGTGAAATATTAAATCATAATGTATTTTGTAGATAAAATAGGTATACCATTTACCTTGGTGTATGGTACATATTTTATGTAAAATATAGAAAACTACATTTAAAAAAATGTAAATAAGATACCATTCATTAGAAAATTCTGTAGCACAGATCTCACTGAAATGAATGGGAACTATGAAAGAGTATTCTGCTGTAGAGGATAAGCATTTGGTGGCTGGTATCACATTTTCACAGATTGTGCCCTTGTGTAATAGAATTGAGTTATTTGGTCTGGTTCCTAAAAGCCATCTGTTTTTTTGGCACAAGCTTACTTTCTGGTTCCTAAATCTTAAACCAGAAAAATTGACAGCAATTATTTTTTATGAGGAAAAAAAAATATGGATGTGAACTTTCTACCTGAACATTTCTTTTCATATAAGGAAGGTCCTACTGTATACCTAAAACTGTTCCTCTGAAATTGCAAGAAAGAATTTCATCCCAACTTTTTGTCACCACTATATAGAGGGTATGGATATTATTTGCCTGTTTTTAAACAAGTTTAAAGAAATGATAGGTTAAATTCCCATCTGATATCTAGTAGTCACCTATGTATGTTTAGTAACAATAGTATTTTTAAATCCCAAATTTCCATGGCCTCAGATTGCACAGGCCACATATCTCTCTTGTCTCACACAAGTTGATATTGAATGAACAGAGGCTACTTCTTCCTTTAGAGCAGGGGTGGGCAACTATGGCCCTTTTATGAATTATGTACTTCAACTCCCAGAATTCCTGAGCAAGCCATGCTAGCTCAGGAATTTTGGGAGTTGAAGTCCACAAGTCATAAAGGGGCCATAGTTGCCCACCTCTGCTTTAGAGGATACCCTTGAAACATACTCTATTAAATATCCAATGAGAAGATCCAAACTCACATTGCTCTTTATTTGCAGATGGGTCTCCAACTTTGAGCAATATTCCTTTGCTAGCTATAATAAAATACTCTAGGGCTGCGCTAAATTAAGGATCCAAACATCTGTCCTCTTGAGTGCAAAGCAGGGGGCTCTGAAGTACTGATCTGAGATCCCAACATGTTGAATAAACATCAGTCAGGAGGCAAATATTTGAAAACAAATAGCCACCTACCTCAGTATAGTTTCATGGGAAGGTTTTGTACTATATGTTATAATTTTATTGCAGCTGTATAAAGCTATACCATAGAGAACAATAGTTCAAAAATACTGGGAAAGTAATGGAATTGTTATCCCAATACACTGTGACCTAAGACCTGCTACTCTTATTTCTGGTTGTTAAATAAAATTATAAATATGTTTGATGTACTTCACAATGCAATCTGAATTTAACTTAAGAGACTCTGGAATCCAACTCTGACATTCTAGGCAGTACTCATGCAGCAGAATCTTTTCAATAACATTCACTAGGATTTACTTCTTCTGAACTTTCCTTTTAGTTGGCTCTTGCTGAATCAAAGAACATAGAACTTATCTCCAAAGAAAATGCCAAAGCTCTACCAGAAGAAGACACTATATGGCACACTTATCCCCTAGGCTTTAGCTCACCTCAGCACCAATGGGCAATTCAGTCCCGGATACATTCTCCATCCTGCCAGAATGCAGCAATACAAGCAGTGCAAGCCCTTATCCAAAAGTCACAACAGCATGAGCAGGTTGGATACACTAGTGTTTTTATTTTATTTATTAAACTTTTATCTACTTATATGTCATCCAGGTCTGAGCAACTAACATACCTAAATGCAATATTAAGATTAAAACATAATTTAACAAAATAGTACAATATAATTAATTATTTAATGCCCTGAGAAATAAGCCATATCAATTCCTCTTCCATATCAATTCTCAAATGTTCACACAGTCAAGTTTTCATTCATTGAAAAAAGCCAGGAAAAGTGGGGGCCATTTGATCTCTGAGGCAGCATTATTCCAGATAAGGGAAGCAGACAGTCCAGCCCTTGTTCCATGTGAGTTACAACCCCTTGAGATATAGGTCCAGATACAATCAAGTTTAATAATTCATATACATTTCAAATAATATTAAATATATTTATTTAGGAGTTGTGACTTTTATGGAGAATGGGTCAGTTGTGATTTTCCCCAATTTTTAAAAGCAATTCCTTGTAACATTTGGCTGCAAAGGCAGTTAAGACAATTTGGAATCAATCTGCAGTGCTGGATGTAGAGAAAGATGTAAGTGCACTGGAGTAGAAAGATTTTTACTTGGGGAATTCAGAAACACTTATTAATTCCAATATATGTTGATTTATAGTATTTTAGATCTGGGCTAAAATATTTTTCCCAGGTTTTTGTTTTGTTTTTATAAAATTGAGAAATTGGATATAATATCTGGAAGTTGTAACAAAAGTTTAAGTGAAGATGTTTGTAATTCTGTGGTCTATATTTCTTCTTTTTTCCTATAAAAGCACCTAGGCCACCATTCTAAATGGTGGCTTTGTAATACATAGCCAAGTGGCTGACCTTTTATGAATGAAATTAAAATATCCTTTGGAATCAAGTATTATCACTCAGAGCAGCAACTTATCTCCTTTCTATAGTAAAATTTAGAACAAAACATACTGAACAATGTCTAAATATCACACAGAGCCTCACAACAAAAAAGTTGTTAGTATTCTTTCCTATTTTGTCTAGGGAATTGGGGGGAGAGTTACTTTGCCCTAGCTTATTTATAAATTAAACAGATATCAGAAACATCCTATTAGTGTGCAATGTTCATTATTTTAATGTATTTTGAATTGGCTAGGTTTATTTTCTGTCCAAGAAGTAAGCAGCATGATGCTGGTACTTCAATTAAAGCTCACATTTTAATGGCTATTGCTATCCATGCATGAATGCTGGCCATTCCAGGTGGATTTTGTGAATGCTGGAAAGATATATTAGATCTACAGCTGCAGATTTATATCTTCAATTGTTTAACTATAGTGGACTGCAGTAAACAGCTGCTGGAGATAATTTCAGGTAGTAAAGCAGTGACCAGAGATCAGCACTGAACTCTTTCTGCACTTACAGCTGTTCTCCCCAGCTGCTCTTCTTCCAGGCAGGTGAAACTGAAAAGAAGTCCAAATGGGATAGGCAGAGCACCTTGGGGATAGAGGAAATATTCAGCAGTCCTTACCATCTCTCTGTGAAATCCGTTCCCACTTCCCATGCATAGGAAGTTTCCTACCTTTAAACTATCCACATTGGCTTAATTATATGCAAAGCCTCTACCTTTCTGTTTGAACTGTCATGTCCATTTCAGATAATTTCCATTGTGATATAGAAGTTAAGAGTGTTAGATTAAGATTTGGAAGTTCACAATTCAGATTTTGACTGTAAAGTTTCTGGGTAATTTAGCCTGGGTATTGGTCTAAGCATAATGTAGCCTACCTAAGAGATTTGTGGTAAACATTAATAAAAAGGATAAAGCTGCATATTGAACCCATCAGCAAGTAGATGGGAAAGGAAATTTATGAATAATAAATGACCTTGGCATTTTTGCAAACTCTCAATTTTCTTTCCTTAGACTTATTCCCAACTCCCATTCACATAGACATTCTGAAAAACTTCTCACCCATCCATTTTGTTGTCTTATATGTTCCACGTATATTGAAAACTACTTGAATAATGCCTGTTTTTTTTTTCATTTCTCTGTATATCTGAGAGAAAGCTATAGATCAGGAAACAACCTATGATTCCGACAAGGCATCAACTACTTTTGGGAGGGGAAGGTCTACTTTTGACTATGGAGCTAGACTTCAACAATCTCACCACCAAAAATCAGAAGCGTAGTGTAGGGAGAAAAATCCAGTCCGGTTCCAAGCCAGGAGAAAAAAATGCTGGAAATAAAACGGAGGCTGGCTGTTTATTTGGTTTTCCAGAAACTTCAGTGACAACAGCATGTTTCTGGGGTGGCTAACAAAATGGCTGAGTGAGTGGATGGATTTTTATAGGGTTCTGGGGTTTGGTGATTGAGATGTGGAGGTTGTGCAATGTAGTGAGTCTTGTGTCTTTTACTTTTCAATGGTGGTAGGTTAATCCTATTATGTCCTAAAGATCATGTCCTGTCCTTAGAATTTGGGTGGAGGAATATAAATTCTTAATTCCATCAGCTCCAGCCTGGGGGAGTTTATGGCTGAAGGCATTTTGTTTATGAATAGATTGGCCTGGTCTTTCTGAATGGATACCAAATCTCCATCCCAAAAGACCAGTCTCTTCTGCTTGAGGTTGTTTTCCTGTGGCAGGAAGACTGGGGCTGCTTTCTGCCTTTAAGAACATATTTCTCCATTTCTCCTTTGGGGAAATATTCTATCCTGCCTCTTTTTAATATTGAACAAAACGTATTTTAATCTGACAGGGGAGTTTCCTACAATAGTTTTCCACAATTTGTGAGACAGAACATACACAAAGTATATATAAGCTGGAAGATCTCAGCCCATTTTCTATCATTATCATATCCTCAGCATCCCACTTTGAAATTTTAAGTTCCCCAAAGATTATGCATTCCATTCTAGATAAATGTTATTTTATAAAACTTGTCATCTCTTTATTAATACGTATTCTCACCCACTTGCTTCACTGTGTTTCAGTGGAATGTGAAATTCCTAAGAGAGGAAATGTATATCCAAAGTCTAGATTTTACCAATGGAAATAAAATTCTTCTTTTTACTCCTATACTCCTTCATACAATTGATGCTAAAGAAAGAAAGAAGATAAAAGCTGTTCCTCTCCCATCCTTTTTACATGGCAAAGAAATAGCTATTATAACTCCTTTGACAGCCATAATTATCTAGCACATTGTCAGTGAGAGAAGATATAGCTCATCAGAAGGGCCCAGGGACTGATTTTGAGGCATAAGTTTCAGTACTTGTTTTCAAGGTTTCTTTTAGAAAAACCCAGATCCATTGCTGTAAAGATTTGGCTCATTAGAATGGACAAAGATACTGATTGGAGCACTTGATTTATCTGTTTAACGTGGAGAGGTTTTCTCTCCCCTCGTGTATGCTTTGTGGCATTTGATGTGCAAAGAACTTCCTGTTTGATCTCTATGAACAGGAATTGCATGTGCAGTTGGAATCCTGCAGAGATATCCTGGGATCTGTCAAGAAGCAGCTTGTGGACTGCCAGCAGGAAATGAAGGCAGCTGATCAACAGCTGCAGGAACAGAAGCAGGAATGTGAAGAGCTGACAAGGGCCCTGGAGGACCGCAGGCAGAAAGCACAGCATTGGAAATCCTCAGTGGAACTTTTAGAAAGGTGAAGGTGGGGGGGTGGGGAGAGGCTTGGCCTATTACTGTAATGATCTCAAGGGGCACGGCTTTGACTCAGTTCTTCTGGCAGTTGCACCAGTTGTGGCCTCAGAAGATGCATCATATAACTTTATTTTAGTGATTTGTCACTTGCAAAAACTCTTCTCGTTATGCAGATTCCCATAACTTCTGGGGAAGGGCTTTGGCACAGTAACAGAGTATCTATTTGCACACAGAAAATTCCAAATTAGTATTTCCAAACAGAACTGGAAAACTCTGCTGGAGAGTTGTTGCCAATCATTAAGTAAATCAGAATGTGGCACATGCTGCTCCACCAGAATGCTTTTTTAGAACATTTCAACTCTGATTTCATTGCCTAAGCTACCAAGCAACAGCCCTTTTTGATGGGTTGTATGCTAGTATATGTATTTCTTTTTTTGCCAAATAAAAGGTATGGTTTTTTAAAAAGTAAAAAAAAAACCTCCAGTTATGGGGGGAAAGGTCAAAAATGTTGGTATTTCCCTTCTGATGACATCTTCACATCAATTTTATGTCCCTGTAGCCCTTTGTCAATGAAAACATACTGTAGATTGTTAAAATGCTGCAGCTCCTGGTCACAAAAATACTGCCAGTTCTTTCTCAGCTTTGTTTGGTCAAGAAAAAAAAGAGATAGAATATTTCCAAGCCTTTAGTTGGCAGTGTTAGAAAGTTTCTTTTGCTTTCACTTTCCCCCTCCTTTTCCAAACAAGATATAATAAAAATTAATTAAAAAGGGAAAAAGATATTTAAAAAGATGACTAGAAGGGAGTCTCTAGCCTAAAATATTATAAAGTCAAAAAGGAAAAAAGAATAGGTGGAGGAAGAGAAAAAAAAACCCAGTCCAGTTTCAAAATCTAAAATCATGTGTAAAAAATCTAGCAATGAGAAAAAAAAATAAAAAAAATATTACTTTGACATTTCTGTTTAAAATCGCCGCTTAATCACGTCTGTCAAAACTTTTACAGATTCTTTCTTTTCCTTAGGGTGTCCTTTCAAATCTTAAAATAAAGAAAAAATTCTCACCAAACCGGCACACTTTCTCGTTCCGTTCTCTTTCGTTTCGGAGCTGTCCCAACTTCAGCAGCTTTAATGGCTGCCTCTTTGCCGCTGGCAAAAAGAGCTTCTCCTGGATCTACCAGGGATTCACCGCCAGCCCAACTCATGTCAGGGTGGTTATTGTGGGGAAAATAGGAGAGGGGAGGTATGTTGAATACGTTGCCACCCTGAATTATTTGTAAAAATAATAAAGGCAGGATACAAATAAATAATAAAATAAATACATTTCTGCCCCATTCCTCCTTGGGAAAGGAAAGTCCTCTCAGCCCTTGAGGACTGCCATCAAACAGTTCCTGGCCTTATTTTCAGGACCAGTTGGTGTCAGGACCAGCTGGTGTCAATAGGGAAGGCATCAGATTTCTCTGAAGGGCATTTTTGCATTACTACATACATTTATCCAAACAATAAGAAGGACCTAAGAAATAGTTGTTGGACCCAAACTTCCATTAGTGCCAGCAAGCAATGCTGTTTAATCCATGGTTGACCCAGATCATAAATAGCTTTCCAGCCAGGAACCTGGGAAGGCAGTATGCAGAATGGGACTTGCCTGACCTCCATTCCTTACTGTAGTGCAAAAGCAAAATATTTCCTGCTGTCATCATGACCAAATTTAAAAAAAAATAAGTTTAAAGGAATTCTTTTGATCCTTATGTTAAATGAAATGTACCTTTATTTGTTTGCTTGTGTCAGTCTATTGTAAATGAATGTGTGGACCTAGTATATCTAGTTAGTCTACTATGAGATCATCTCAAATCCTGCCTCCCAACTTCCTATAGCATTATAAACACTATAAATTAAAGAAAGATAATACAGCCTATGGTAGTGAAAGCTCGGCAAAGCTTCTTTGAGAAGTGGATAGACAAGATTTGATTTCTAGTAAAGGAAGTAAAAAAATTGCTGAATTATCTCATCACCCAGTGCTTTCCCTTCCAGTTCTGTCCCACACTTTTCTTCCAACAAGTATTTAAAATGTATGACTTTTATAACTGGTCAAAAAGCAAAGGGGTAAATTGCTGGAAAGAAAGGATTTTGGTGTGTGTGTGTGTGTGTGTGTGTGTGTGTGTGTGTGTGTGTGTACCTGTTTCTTCTACGTTGTCTGGTAGAAAATAAATTATTCATCCAAGCCCTATTTTGCAAAGAAGCAATTGGTCTTTAGAGGTATGCAATGATAGTTCCACCCTGACAGCCAAGGCATGTCTATGTCTGAATGATCTTGACCCAAAATTGTTCATATTTTTTCCTCATTTCTCAGAGAGAAGGAGGCCATGGAGATAGCAGTAGAAAGCCAGTCTCAACAGCTTGATGCCTCCCATTTGGAGGTAGAGCGCCTGAAATCAATGAATGGAGATCTACAGAAACAGCGAAAACTCCTTGAAGAGCAAAAAGAAGATGCAATTAAGGAAAAGGAGAGGACAAGGAAGGATTTGGAGTGTGGGTGAGATGCTGCAATTGTGTCTCTAAGACTGTGTAATGAAAGAGGAATAGTCCAAGAGGATATTGGTGGGCAGCAGTTACTAGAAGACAACTAAGACATTCCATTATGTGGGTGGGAAAGTAGTATGTGAAGAACAAATCCTTTTCACCCATTAGAAGCCCCAAACTCTTTAAGAAAGACCTGTCAAATTGCTAAAACATTTCAGGGCTAATTAATTCAGAATTTTAAAACAATAACTAAAGATAGAAAATTGAAGATACAGTAGGCAGAAAACATTTATTTATGCAACAGTTGTGGAATTTGATACTGCAATATATGAAGGCAATCATTTTAGTTTACTTAAAAATGGAGATATTTATGGAGAACAATCAATAATAAGCTTAGATTTGACTACAGTTAATTGTTATTCCACAATCAGAGACAGTACAACTTTAATGGTTGTTACAGGAGAAGAACAGTAAGAATATCTATTTGCCTTTATGTTTAACCAGAATCCTTTCCAGAATCATGGTTGCATGGGATTTTTTTTTTAAATGCTGGAGTGGGGTGTTTTAACAGATCTCTTCCATTCTTATTATTGCAATCTTGTCAGTGATTACATCAGTATTCCTTACTAAATGTAAGGACAGTACAAATAGGTTTTGGAATCTTTTGGCCAATATGCCAAAAGTCCAGTCTCCTTGCAGACATACTCATCTTGTTTTGTGCAGATTAGGATCTTTAATCCAGACAATACCATGCAAGTCAATATCCATATTCTCTAACTCAGATTTTGAATACAAACATGGTATCCCCACACATTCAGGAAGTATCAACAATGTGTTCGGCATAATCTGCTATGGTTAGTTAAACTGCAAAGACTTTACTCTTTCCATAGGCAAAGGTCTCTGGAGCAACTTGAGGAAAAAATGTCAATCCTGAAAAAAGAGTTAGTGAATGTGAAGGAATCTTTGAATCAGGCCATGCTGGAGAAAGATATACTGGAGAGTGCAAAGGAAGGCTTGAGCAAAGCACTTTCCAAAGTAAGGATTGCTTTTTGATGTGTTTTCGCATGCCATTGGGCTCTATTCCCATCTTTGCCCTGACTGGGGAGTTGTCTCCACTTTCAGTTCAGAAGTAGTCTTGCTGCAACATTTCACCCTGTCACATTATCTTGCTTTTCTATGAAATATTTTATGTAGAATATTCTATGTAAAACCTTTAAGAAGTGTTAAGTACGTCTTTATTTTACCAGTTTTTGCTTGCAAAATGATGTTGACACCAGCCAGTGGTGGGATTCAGCCAGTTCGCACCGGTTCAGGCAAACCAGTTGTTAAATTACCCACTCCCTGCTATCAAAATGGATTCTCAGCACAAGGAAAGGAGAAGGATGCTTTCCCTTTTTCTTCTCTCTGCTCCTCCTTCTTCCCTCATGCTGTCCTCTCCATTACAACGCAGCGTAGTGCCCAGGATCCACTTTGATAGCCAGGAGAGTGTGTAATTTAACAACTGGTTCACCCAGGGTCATGTTGGCCATCGCGGGAGGTTCATCCTACATGTGCAGCTGAGCTGGAGGATGGGGATGAACCATACCTCTCATAATAGCCAACTTGACCCTGGGTGAACCAGTTGTTAAATTATTTGAATCCCACCACTGACACTACCTAAGTAAACAAAAATGAGTATTGGCCTTAATTCTGTAGATTCGTATTGTACTTGAACTTGACCTTGAACCATTATTGCCCAGATGAATGCTGACATTTTAGTCAGTCTACACTAATATATAAACTTTCTCCTTGGAAAAGGTATATTTGACTATGGTGATATGTACCTTAACTCCTATTTTTGTAAGCCATTGGAATAAGTCACTCACAGTTGAACTTTTGAATCAGGATAGAACCCTAAATAATTGTCCATTTGGGATGGGAGTTCCAAATGGAAATCATGAAAGCACAGAATGAAGAAAGCCACTTTAATTGCATCAGATCTATATTACAACTATAGAGAAGAGTGTTCAAACCTTCAGAGTTTCAAAAAAATTCAAGAGAGATTGAACTGGATCTTGGGAACATCTTACTCTGTTGCTGAAGCTGCTCTTCTGAGTTCTTGTATAAGCTTTAAAGCCATATTTGGAACAGGCGATCTGAAAAACAATTTTCTGTAATAGAAGACTACCTGAACATAAAGTTCTTCAGCAATGGCTTCCTTTATGTCTGCAAATTGTATCCCAATTGTAGGGATAGAAAAGGCATTTTGTTAGTTGCAGGCCTTTGCTTTCTCCTAATGGCTTTCTGCCACTGCATAAAGATCTTTTTCTGTTTTGAAAGCCTTCGGTTTCCAACAGATTAATTGGATTGCTCATACTTGGATACTGTTCCCAGCTTGCTTGTTTTTTAACATGTTTCTTATAATTATGGTGTTTAAAATATGTATAGGGGTTTCTGCACAAAGAAAGGAATGATAGTGTACCAAAGCCTGCTCTAATCAGCTGTGGTGAATTTATTTTGCTGTCCTAGAAAGTTTAGGTGATGGTTGTAGATTTACCAACTGGAGGACATCAGATTGGAGAAAGGTAGTTTAAAATACTAGAATATGTCATTCTCTAATCACAAAGATCATAAATTGTTTTCCTGATGATGGTAATTAAATAATCTGAAAAAAAAATACAATAAAACTATTATTATCCTTTACTTTATTGCAAAGCAATGATTGGGAGGGGAGAATAGGAAATCTGAAACAGGCTAATGCTGTAGAAGAAAACAGCCAAAGTTTATTTTTCACAACTTTAGAGGGGGAAAAGCAGAAGTATGGATGAAGTGCCTTCCCTGCTGTCATATTTTCAGAGTTTATCATTTCAAAACAGCAATTTAAGTGCAAAGTTAGATCTCTTTTCTCAGAAATATTATGCCCACTATGAAATATTATAAAGTCTTTGGGCAGTTCCTTCATGAGTAAGTGTGTTGCTCAAAAACTTCAGTAAAAACTACCACAGCTGCTCATGTTGGCTCAGCTTAAGTGAGTAGCAGAATTTTTTTTTGCCACCCACTCTTTTGGCCTGCTTAACATTTCTGGAAGGGAAATGGCATTTTCCTAATAAGAATATTTTTGATTACATAATGATCTTAAAGTGAAATAGCACTTTCATTTCAACATATGGATGCCAAAGATCCTTCTCATCTTGCTATAGATGCAATTAAATTTGAGTAGTATTGAATAGGGAATGATCTGGTCAGATTTACATTTGTGAAATGTAGTGTTTTAATAAGATCCTTGATCTTTATGGGAATAATTTTGCATAACCTTTATTTTAAGCAACATCTGATCAAATAACTAGCACTCAAAAAAGTATGCATTTTCTCTGAGAAATCCATGCATTGTATCAAAGAGAACAATCCAGGCAGAGAGAGACATTGAAGTAAACATGCATTCAAAATTAAAGAATTCTTTACCGTGTCCTGCAGATAGATGGAGAGTTTTATACCATTTTTTCTTGGAAAAGAACAGTCATTGAAAATAGTTATTATGCTTACAGTTTATCTATATAGTAAAAATGATAAGGTTTGATGAGCATAGTCTAATCTGAGTATGCCTACAATTTCCACCTCAGGTTGAAGCCAGCAACACTGAGCTTGAACTCTCCATACACAAGATGAAATCAGAAGATGCTGAACTAAGGGACTCACTAGCCAGGATGGGAGCTCTAAATGAAGGACTATCAAATGATAAAATCAAACTAAACCACATCATCTTCCAGGTAACAGGATACCACAGTAATTGTGCAATTTTCAGGCATCAGGACCATGGATTAAGTTGCAGTTCAGATTTATTTATTGCTCATGCCTATGCACAAGAATCTTAGTTAACTAATGGTCAGTACTAAATTGGCACTAGTAAGAGTTAAAAGAAGGGTGGCACTTGTACCTCTTATGACAACATAATGACTCCAAGCTGATTCCTCTCTTGACTCCCTCCCCCCACCCCACCCCCACCCCCGCTCTGCCTTTCTTTCTTCTACAGCTAGGAACAGACTTTAGCAAAGAGCAATAACTGTGCATGTCAGCTTGCTTGCGCTTGATGAATAACTTTCAAGTGTTAAAGATTTAAATACTGAATGATAACTAATAACAGATTCTTAGATCAGAAGTAAACATATTAATCCCACTTTGTTCAAGAGACAAGGCAGTTACAGTATATTCTTCAAGGTGATAGTAAAGAATACAGAAAAGAGAAATACTGAAAAATTTAAAAAATAAAATAAAAAACAAAACAGAAAAACATCATAAGGAGGAATTTTCAGTAGCTCACTTTTTCCCTTTCCTTTCATAGTCCCCAGCGTCTAATCATTACATAAGTATTTGTACCTTTCTTGAAATATTGGAGATTGTTATTTACATTTGTTTAAATCATTTTGTTTTATATTTTTATAATTAAACTCGTACCTCTTTTTCTTTAAAAAGTGTTCCAAATATCTAAACCTGTCTTTTTGTATATTATATAATAAAGGTAAGGGAGCAATTCCTGTGTGAATTTAGTTAAATAAATATATAGAATGAGCTCTGCTATTGCTGCATATTCTCTGACTTTAATCTCTCATTCTTGTATTATTGGCAAAGTTTCACTTTTCTAATATTGTAGCAAATTGGTTCTGGTCACTGCCAGATGATGATTATGATACTTTTTGTTGATTCTCTCTGGAATTATTCCTAGTAAAAATATATGTGGTTTTAGTTAACAATATTTTTTTTAAAAAATCATAATGCTTAAATGCTTCCAACATTTTGGGTTTACACACCTACACACACACCTACACATGCACAAAACCAATGCAATATACAGTAGTAGAATGTATTCTATTTATTATTGCATTTCCCACATTAATTATTGTTTCATTTGCCCAGCTTAGGAATCATTGACAGGGCTTGATACTATCTATAAAACATTTTTTCCAATTTTACCTAAAATTATAACTTTGAATGCATTTTATTGATTTTTCTATAGGTCTTCCCATTGTTGCAATGTAATTATGTCTTTGATATTTCGCATTCTATTTTATCCTATAAAAATCATTTTTTTTTATTTTTTTCTATCAAAAAAATTTATAGAAGAGTTCCAATAGATATTAATTTTGTTTACATGTTTCAAATTTAGTTACCTTTTTTGAGGTGTCTTGTTCTTCCCTGAGGTCACTTTAGGCACATTACCATCGTTAAGCAATTCTTGCTATGTCTCTACAGCAGTACAATTTCTGAATCCAGATAAACCACATTAGCATACATGATGTTTTATGGATAGTATAATAATTCTGTCAATAATTCCAAAAATGGACAAACCATACCATAATCAATGCGAGGAATGCAATAATACATAGAACATTCTACAATGGGCATTGTTTTGTGTGTGTGTGTGTATGTACATATTTATAGATACATACATGCATATACTACAATACACACACACACACATAAACACATATAAATTACTGTAATTATGTTGGAATAAAAAGTATATGAAAGTGATGCTAATGCTGAAATCACCATTCTTATCGTCAGGAAGTTCCAATTTTTTTTTTATTTTTTTTTTTGCAGTCTTTATCTCACAATATCTTTCTTCTTCTCCTCCTTCTCCTTCTCCTCCTCCTTCTCTTCCTCTTCTTCTGCTGCTGTTCTATTTCTTTCTTTATACCATTAATACCTATGAAATCCATTGGCTAAACTGTCTCCTTCTAAAATTAATATTCTGTTATTTGGATATTTTATCCATGTTATTATCCATAATAGACAATTTTCTTTTCCATTTTTGAATCTTACTCTTGTTTCTTCTCCACTCCATATGAATCTGTTAATTATTCTTTGTCATTCCTACAAAATTTTATCTGAAATTTGAACTGTTGCAAAAGCTTGCAGAAAACAAGCCATTTGTGATAGTTGCTGTTTGGCATTACTATATAATAATGTTTTGAATTGCATTCATTTTGTCTTGGTCCTCTACATATAGTCACTTGCTTTGTGAAATAGGAAGCTATATAAATTTGACAAATAAATAAAGTGTATATAATTCCTAGGTCTGAGAGAGGGAAACTAGCCCAGAGTCACTCGTGTGCCTTTCTGCCTAAGGCATAACTCCAATTCAAAGTGTCTCAGTTTTTAGCTTGGTTCGTTAACAATCACACCAAACAAAGTAAAATATTGCAGATGTTTTTAAATTTATAAATTGTGGATTGCTCCTAACAGGAGATGAGATTAAACAGGTTTTTTTTTTAATGATGTGGTTTCAATTATATACACATGCACAGCGCACCTGCCTACACTATATCCATTTAAAGTAACTTCATTAAGGCAGTGACAATGGGAGTAGTTTAAAACCCTCTTTAGTGATCCCATTGCTGTATCTGCCCCTACGTTAATAATAATAATAATGTGGATGTTAATTACATACATACTGTACATCTCAGTTGGCTTTTAAGATTGCAGGCTGGAGAACTGCAGATGGCTGGAGATGTGCAAGTCACATATATAAAATTTAAATCAAATCTTGCCTAAAATGTTTTTCAGCACAAACGCCAAATCTATATTTACTAGGAATGCTCAATCAAATAACCAATATTTCTGTCCTGTTGTTTATTCTCTATTTGACACTTGCACATTTGGTAGAAATTTGTCAAAACATGGAACTAGGTAAATAAACAAATAATCTGACTTGGAGGAGAAGGCAAGGGGGAAAGGTGTGTGTTTATTGTGTGTGCCTGTGGTGTATAAGTGTGTACACCAGCATATATCTATATAGAGGTGTATCTCTGTAAAATTTCTGATTCCTGATCCAACAGTCTATGGTTACAAAGTTGTTCATTTATTCTCAAAGGCAGTTTGGAACTTAACAAATAAAGTTACTGTAAGATTGTACTCCTATGATTTCTCAAACAAATATTTCCGCATCATTCCCTTATGGTGGCATGACTCCAAGTTAAGCCTGCCATTTATGTTCCTGTCCATCTTCTGTCCTCCCACTTCTAGAACTTGTACATTCCTGTGTTTTCTCTTATTGTGCAGCTTGAAGATGAGAAGAGCAAGTTGGTAGGGAGGAAGCAGGAGCTGGAGCACGAGCAAGTGGTTTGGCGAGAACAGCTTGCACACTTTGAAAAGGAGCAGATGCACATGAGGGCAGAGAAACAAGAATTGGAGCAGAGTTGCCAAGCCTCCGAAGAGAAAGGGGAGATGCTGGAAGGAGAAATAGCCTTACTGAGAAGGGAAAGAGTCCAGCTACAGGACCAGATGATGCAGGTATGAAAAGATGAGGAGGCCATTTATCGCGGCAAAGTACAGTATGTACAAAGGAATTGGCTTGGATCAGCTTGGCTATTCTGATTCAGACTTTTGCATTTAGCCGGATAACTCTGGAAAGATGACAAACAGAGCTTGGTAAACAACTCGACCTACTTACATTCTGTAGCCAAATGAATTAATGCAAATCACCCAAAGTTATTGTAGTTTTGGTTTTCTTGATTGCTAACATTATGGGGAGATTAAGTTAACTTTGCATCCCTACCACCAAGGACACTTCTTTCCCTCTCTTTATATTCTGGCATGTTAGGTATATGGAATAGTATTAGGATCCATGGATTGTTATGTGATAAGGATCTGAATAGATCTCTGTAAAGGCTGTAAATTTTAAGATATAAAGGATTCATTTTAATAATAGTTTATGTGAGGGAACCCAGAGGTTTTCGTAGAAGACTTGCATTCAAAGTTGTAGCCCAATGAACACAGGAGTGGGGAAAAAAAATTCTCCAGAAAAAAATTAATGGATCATTTTAGTCATTGCATTGATAACATTCTTCTTTAGAAAGTTTGCCTCTTTTATGAGTTCTTCAGCTCCTGCTACTAAT